GGGGGGGGGGGGGGGGAGGCAGAAAAGGAAGAAGAGGAGAAGAAGAAGAGTACGACGGAAGCAAAGGGAGAGAGCGCGTTTTCGACCGCCCGGAAAGCGTGCGCGCGGCCGTCTCTAAGACGCGGCCATAACTGACTATTTATTGCGGGGATTATCACGGGCTTCTGTCTATTCGACGATATTTACGGTCCTCCGGCCGCTGCCGCGCGCGTATCGGCGAGAACGGCGAACGAACGACTTCATTGCAATTGCGCGCCCGGGGGTATTATGGTTAGTCGCGCGCGCGGGTATTTATAGTAAGGGCTGTTATTAGCGCGGTTAAAACTTTACGGCTAGAGCTGCCTCATTTACGGCCGAGCGGCGCCGTAATCGCATAGTTAGAATTATACGATTACGAGAGGCCGGCACTACTATATTATCGCCGATAGCCATTGAAATTCTTTACGCGCGCACCGTGTAATTCCGCGCGAGCGTCCGGAGAAGAGGCTGCGCGGGGGGAGGGAATGCATGAGGAGGGGGGGGGAGGGTTAATTATTAATTATCGAACGCGCGACGTGTCGTTAAGAGGTGAGCGAGCGGCCGCACGTGCGAGTTTGGCACCGCGACGCGCTAAGAATCACGGCGTTAACGTCGCCATTCTGACTCCGCTCGCACGGATTTGAAAATCGAGAAAAGTGTGTCCGCGCGTCGAACATCAAAGTGATAAAGCGGAAATGCGAAGTAAAAGCGGGAAATTAATTTTTACATGTGTGTGTGTGTGTGTACATAAAATTAAAATATAAATAATACATGGCTCGCGCGCGTGATATATACGATGAGATTGGTGCCGTTTCATATTTTATAAAAAATATATCGTCACTGTGATGATAAATAAATATGATAAAAATATGATTATGATAAAAAAAGGAGGCTAATATGTGCGTTGTGTGAAAGTAGACACGCCGTTGCAAGAGGCAAAACTTGAAAATCCAGAGATGATCACTTCGACGTCTCCAATGCCAAGCATTGAAAAATAGTCGTTTGATTTCGTTTTTTTGATAAAAAATTATTTATGTGCATATTTTTCATATATTTTTATATGTATTTACATAAATATAGAAAATTATATAAATTTACCCCGCTCTATATGAAGCCTCTCGAATGTCTCGAGAGTTACAAGCGGAAAATTCGCGTGTTTCGGTTTTTCAAAGGCGCGTTCGATCAACGAAGATGAAGAAAGCGTAACACTTACGTCATCTTAAACGTGTGTTTATGGAAAGGCGCCAGGCGTCGTCCTCGCGGCAGAAATCTCCGGTGTCCTTTCCCGTCACGTCGACAAATTGCGCGCGGAATTTTCCAGCCGCTTCCGGCGAGTTACGTCGTCGGCGAGAAGAGAGACCGTGTGCGATGTGTTTCCGCGAACGAAGAAATACGATCACTTCTTCTTCCCGTTGACTGACGTGGCGATTGTACGTACCTGCAAGCGAGAGAAAAAAAATATATATGTCACAGGTGTGACAGGCTGTTCGTTCTTCCGCAATATCATTTTCCTTTGTTCCGCGACTGACGCGGCAAGAGCGATAAATGCACCGGCTGATTCAGGAATTATGCGTCGTCGATGTACTGTGCAAGGATTATGAAGGATTTACTGGCGGTTTGCGGATTTCCAGTCTTGGAAATCGGGGACTGATTCAAAGGCGTTTTTTCAATTCTCTCTCTCCTCCATTCCTTTTTACGAGAAGAAAAAGCAACGTCGAATTTTCCCTCGAGACGTGCAAGTTTTGTAAAAGTAAAATTCAAATCCATGATAAAAATCGCAATATATTCTCGAATAACAGTATTAAAATTATTTTGTAAGTATTTTACATTATCATTATTTGTAATAATTATATATTTAGTGACAAGCCTGTAATTTATTACATGAAAGAGATCTTGAAAAAAAAACCTCGGAGCGTTGCTACCAACAAGGTGTCGCGAATACAAGAAAATACAGAGAAAATCCGAAGCTCTTAAAATCAACCCCTGATTTCGCAGAAATCGCGAATTCAATCTCGCAAAACCGTTACACATCAGCCGCGTTTAATCCTTCATTTTTGCGGCTAACACATGACGTTATCTTTGATGGAAAATTCTGCTCCAAGGAAACGTCTAGTCAGACTCATTGATGTCTTAATGCGGAACCTGTTCGGCACGTTCTTAAAAATGTATACCGATTATAATCACATTTATCACGGGCGCGGATTTCAGATGTTGCCGCGATAGCGAAATTGTGGTAGAGAATGAGATAATATCGCGTAATCGACGCTACTCGTGTATAATTATACCGCCGCCATGGCATCATTTTTTTGCATAATACATTTTCATGAAACGGGGTGTTACCTACATCGCAGTTATTATTAACCGAGCACCGCTCGGTGGAACCTTTCGCCGCGCCTGACTACTTGCGAAACGATTTCTGTTTCGCGGGAGTCGTCTAAAATTCTTCTAGCATACATCGCGAGTTAAATTAATTTTGTAAATTTGCCTTTTACTAATCTATATCATTAAAGACTAAAGACATCGCGAAACAAACCATCGTCTGTTATCTGGCCACAAATGTGTCGAAAAATAAGGAAAACGAAATAACAAATAAATTAACAGCAGAAATTGTGGAAATGTAAAATATAGCGATCGATGTGTCATGACGATATAACACATCGATTGGAAAATGACCACACAGACGATGATAGAGGATAACATGTGTATAAGGAATGTAAAACCAATAATTTTATTCAACAGCATAACAATAGCGGCATCAAATCCAGTACGCTTCAAGATGACGCTGAAAATCGTAATGTACATACAGGGCTGTACAATATGTACATTATAACAAAAATATTTAACACTCTTGCAATCAATAACAAGGCATTCTAATTCAGTATCCTGAATTTTTGTACTATTTTAGAATGTATAGGCAGTAATACTTCTTATCGTATCTAAACCAAGAGAGGTCGCGAAAGTCTTTCAGGAGCCTTATATTTCTTTTTGATTGGTGCATCTCAATTCCTTGGTCAAGTTTTTCCTTTAAATTTCCTTTAAATAGCTTACTCCATATTGTACTTGTTATCTTGTATTTTATGTTATTCAAAGTTTTATAGAATAATCGATAAATTTAATAGAGTTTCAGGCAAACGTGGTTATTATTTGTCCTTCGATAAAATAGAATTTGATTTAAAAATATCATATCGTCGCATATTAACAAGGCCTTTTAATTACTTTATGTCAAAGATGAGGTAAACATCCTTTCATACATCTGAATACTTTCCCTGCTTTGGGCTTGAGTATAACCTCTCTTGGATTAACGACATACTATAATTCTAATGAGCTACGCTTCATCACTCGCGTTTTACTCCGTATAGCGACGCTTTTGGATGATATCCTGTACATTTTCTATATGTAACATCCATAGTCCTTTCCACGGCATGGTCTATAGGATGTATTATGAAAGGTATAGACACTAATCCAATAATCGTTGAAATCCAAGGCTTCCTCCAAACTGCACTTGTACTTCTTTTCTGCGCAAACTGAACTGCTGCACAGATTCGATTTATGGTAAAACCAGGAACTATTATGGATGCGAATGCCTGCCATATCAGAGTGTCCGATGCGGATAACAGAACATTCTTAATCTTTTGTGGGCTGGTATCGATCTACAATAGCCAATTATCAATTATCTTAATAATTACTATTAATTAAATTCGCAAATTATAACATACCTTGTAAACATTTGTGCCCTTGTGAGTAGTATCTGCGAGTACGTATCCACTCGATACCACATAACTGGCCCACACAACGGATTTGGGTACCAGGCTTCTAAATGCCTCTCCAACCTCATTCGCATAACCTAGAAACATAAGTACTCGATAAGTTTAAAAAATATTATTCAATGTTACATGATGTAATTTTCTTGTAGTATATAATATATGTAACTTCTGCTACATAATATCTTAAAAAGTAAATATATTTTCAGCAATCTACTCTTGCATACGATTAGAAAATGTACGATAGAAGCTTGACAGAAAATTTCAATAACAGCATACAATAAGTAACTTATAATTACCTAGATACCTCACGTACGTGTCCCGATAAAGGTCCACCTCTTCCTGATTCTTGACCATTACAGAATTTTCAGTTTTTCAACTACCTTTCGTACGATGACATAACCTACAATAACTTGCCGCGATGACCCTTCGGGATGTTCAATGTCAAGGCAGTTTTTTTCGCATTGACGTAATCATGATGTATTCAATTGTGAAAGATATCGTGATATCTTTCCTTCCTAACTTCTAACTATATATATATATATTTAGAAACTTCTCAAAATAACGCAATTTGCATACCGTTTGTGAGAAAATAGATATTCATTGCGGGATAAGTTACAAATACGAATGTTGACCAGTATAGGGAATTTCGTGAGGCGATAAAATCGCAGTCGCAATGCGACATCTATCGAACTGTATATCGATCTTTGAATTTTTGAGTAGTTCGTTGAGATTAGCAAAATAATTGCGAATATCACATTCCGCAATATAATGATTATTTTGCGATATTTCATCCGTATTCATTTATGAATAATGCGAGAACCTTTATATATATATATATATATATATATATATATATATAAAGAGCTTGTAAANTAAAGAGCTTGTAAAATACAAATCAACAATATGCCAAACCTAACCTACAATTCACACGTCCAAACTAGGTCGCCAAGTGACGAATTGATTATCTCAGAGTGCGATTATCGTCCGGAAATTAATAAACGTCAATACTCACACTGCTGTCGTTCATAATTCTACATATCATATACCTTCCCGATCATCCTATTTCCATTATTTTACTTCCTTTCCCGAGTGCCCGCTCCTCTTCGTTCTCCATATTTACTGTTCGAAGTGTTCAGAATGGCGGCCGCCGCTCCGATCACTTTCTTGATAGATGACATAACCTTACTTTCGGCTGCCCCGCGATTATGGGTACGCACGCTCTCGCTCGCGGGTGATAGCTCGCGACGCGACCGGCCAGATATGGCGGGACCGTGATAGGATTTCTCTTAGCGCGAGCGGTAAACTCGACATACGTCGAGCGCACGTGGTGCAGCGCGGCCGTTGCGTCTGGGATGATGATCGTCGACCTGGACTATACGAGGCGCTACTTGAGCCTGCAGATCAACGACGTGATCTGCTGGTGGTGGTACTATATCAAGGAAATCTCGTGGCAGCTGCTGATCGCCCTGCTCGCGTACCTCTGCGTTTGCATTTTCCTCTACGCTCTTCTCAAAAGAGTCGACCATACCGCCTGGCAGCTACCAGGCCCGCCCGACAGGCTACTTCTGGTCACTGCTCATCCCGACGATGAGGTGATGTTCTTCGGACCCCTGGTCTATTGGCTGACGCGTTCCAAGGTTACCAAGGTCTATCTGCTGTGCTTATCAATGGGTACATGTCCTACCGATGACCTATCCTGGTGTCCAGGATCGTAAGCGCGCGATACATAATATACCGAATAAGAATATCGACAGATTGAATGTCACTCAAATGCTATGTCTATTGATGTTTACCAGTGTGCTTGCAGGTGGAGACAAAAGGAGGATAGACGAGCTGTGGGCCTCTGCCAAGATCTTAGGCATCCCGGAGGCTAACATAACGATTATCATGTGAGTGCATCCGACAAAACATCACTTGCAAGCGTTCACATTTGCACTGCTTATACGTGTAAAGATGTGTATCTCACAGGATCATATTTCGACTGCATATTCAATGTTAAATGCACTCTTCTGTCTTTTATGCATCGGACATGCCGCAAAACCAGCGATCCGACGGATTTATCCAGCATTAAATATGCAATAAAAATATGAGATTAGTATCTAACTCCTCGGTCATAGTGCGATGAACAAATGTACAGAAGCAGCGAGTTACCAGATGACCAGACCGTGCAGTGGCCGATAGACGAGGTGGCAGAGAGTATTTTGCAATATATAGAGATCTACAAGATCAATGCTGTCGTTACGTTCGACAAGCACGGAGTGAGCCGGCACAGGAATCACATCTCCTTGTATTTTGCCATCGCCGCGTTGTGCATAGAGAAGAAAGTACCTCCTTGTCAGTGTCAGTTCGTTAAACGTTAGACGCAGAGGATGTATATCCCAACTCGGTCCAATATATCGTTATTACGTTTCAGATTGTAAGTTATATGTGTTAGAGTCCGTTAATATAATCAGGAAGTACATTCAACTCCTGGACTTGCCCATCAGTTTACTCTCAGCCCCGTACTGGTACCTGGTGACGCGTGAACAAAAGCATACAATCAAAGTAAGTCATAGCGTTCCACTTGTGCCGAGGGAAAAGTCACTAATTGTGTGTATGTGTGTGTTCTTTTCCTTCTTACAGAAAGCTATGGCTGCACACAAATCTCAATACGTTTGGTTCCGGAAATTATACATGGTCTTCTCGCGATATACATTCATCAATACCCTCCAAGAAGTCAGTGCTCTCGACTTGGAGTTAGACCTCCAGTTCGACGAGGACTAAAACGCGTCCGAACAAACGAATATTTGTACAAAATATATATATAATTAACAATTATTCTGTATATACTTTGTCTACCGATAGATATTACAGCGACTAATGTACATTAATACACATTTATGAAAACCACACGAAAGCTACGGAGATTTTTGAGATATACATGCAGGAGCGTACCTCATTAAGCAGGAAATATTTTTTTATTCGTATAATTAATAGAATATACATCGTGGATTATATTTCCGAACGAGAATGCGGCACGTAGCTTTCCTGTCCGTAACAATAAATCAGCTTTTTTTTTCTCCCTCGCAAATAGCGCGTATCGTCGTGTCAACCTTCTCTACTGCATACAACCTTTCGTAGATGCTACTACATCGTGCGAGTTTCAACTTCACGAAATTTGTCGTTTGATATGTACTCGTCAGGCGTGTATGTGAATGTATGTATGTGTATACGTGTGTACAATAAAAATTTACTTAGAACAATCATATGATGAGAGATGGTGATTCTTATCGATTTGAATCGCAACATTTCACGCATGTTCAGTTGTCAAATCATTTGAGCAAGTGATAATATGTCACGAGTCGAGTTTATATGATTCAACATATGCGATATTTTCGATCGTACCTCAAATGTTGCAACGTATAAACGATAAGAGTGATAGACTTTTTGTTTAGAGCCGAACATTTTCTTACACTCTTTTTTAGTTCACCTCTTATATTTTCTCTCTTTAGTTTGGCACAATAACGTGCGCATAGAAGAATTCATCTTTTTCTTTCTCTCCGATATATTCGACAGCAGAAATCTTTTTTACATTTCGGAAAATATATTGCTCTGTTCACACAACAAGTCGGTATTATATTTATATATTAGAGAATAGAATAGAGAATCTACGAATATATATTCTTCCATATGCACAACATTACAACACTTTTTTTTTTGTAACACTTAATTCCCAGAGAAAATAGCGAGATTTCCTACTGCAAAAATGAGCTTTATCTTCGTAATTGCACGAACGACGTAAATATACACCTTGGCAAGCATGGTGGGAAAATACTGCACAAATTAATGACCATATTTAAAAACAACTACGATACACGCACAACAGTCGTTATTCCATAATTCTCGATTATAGTATCTTAATGAATGATTGTCTCTTTTATTACTAATCGACTAATTCTTTATTTTCCCAACATGCTTAAAACATCTGGAATGTAAAATATATGTTTTTTACTTGCCTACTGTATAAAACGTACATATATAAAAAGAGAAAAATCTTGTAAAAAAAATCTCAGTATTGAAGACGTCATAAATAGTCGATTCAGTCCGCGAAGATGGTTATAGCCTTAACAACCGACAGTTTAGACCGGCAGCAATTAGAAGTTGCAAATACTTGCATAATACTAGACGCACACAGCGCGTTTGTGCGTACATCGAAATAATGGCTATACATCCAAGAACAAAATCTGTGCGCCGTAATTTCGCGTATTGTCGCACATTCAAAGTACCTATAAATTCCCCTAATATACATACCGAATGAGGTAAAAATACTAATACTCGGACATGTATTAAAACCTGGACCATATTCTCATTATTTTCGTCTTTAAATACGAATATTTAAGCTTTCCACATAGAATGTATATATATATATATTAAATGTATGTGATACATACATACATATATATATATATATATCCATAGTCGAAAATTTATATATTCGTAGTTGACCAAAACAATAAATAAATGTAAAAATTTAGATGCATGTTCGGGTATTTTTACCTTACGCGAATTAACGGAATGACATTGTGTCGTGGACGTAAAACCTTCGGGCAAAATTGCGCGAACGATCGGCTTGATCTTTACGTCAAGACGAAAATCTTACGTACGACGAATCTAATAAACTCGTTACTCTTCGTCAGCTTAGAGTAAGACGAAATAAACTCTTATACAATGACGACAGTCAAAATGGACGGCATAGAGTGTTCCCGCAAGATCCTCCATGATCGAGTAAACTACCGCGGCGTAATAAACCGACGAGCGGAATACCGAATTTAGGTACGTAGAGAAGAAAAGTAGTACCACCTGGAAGAGGTTTCCAATCGGGCGTAAGGATTCCCCGTGTGAGTCCCGGAAGGCGACGGAGAGAGGGACCACAGAGGCTCCTTACAAAGGATTCATGGCGAAGATCTCGCGGGCTGTATCCTAGAACCTGTCTTTGCCGCGATGAGAGCCTAGGGTACCCATTCCCGGCTGAGGTGAATCCGGATCAGCTGCGTCTTGCAAATACTGCAGTTCCTGCAGTTCCTGGAACTTCTCGTGATCGCGTATGTGCGCGTAATTGGCCGACAGGCACATGAGATAGTGTATCAGGCTCAAGATCACCAGCATGGATGCTACTGTCGCCAGAATGAACATCACTTCGGCTTTCTCCACGAAGTCCTTGCAAAACAGCTTGACTTCCTGCGCTCCGCACACCTGCATGTCCTGCATTCGAGTGTTATTCGGAAACATGAAGCCTGAAAATTGAAATTGTGTGAAATCACGACATTTATCGGCTCATGAATGTAAAGTAAGGAATAATATCAAAAAGCAGCTGCTTTACAGCTCTGAAGTAAAAGGGAAATGTGCATTTTATGCTTAAGAAGAATGGCCTCATTCTAAAGCACTTGTGAATGAGTAGCAGTGTGTAAAAAACTTACTGAATTGAGTGAAATCGATGCAGTCGTCGAGAGACTGGACACGTGGATTGCTGCACAGGCCCCAGAATATGGTAAATATCAGCGTGGTGATAACCAGAAAGGCAAATATCAGGAGCCAAGCTAATTGCAGGATATAAATGATAGTCATAAACTGAAAAATAAAAAAGAGAAACATTTGCATCATGATGTCGTATCGTTGGAATAACTTTCAGCAACTGTCCAGCACAGATTTTGGTATTACTGAAGAGAATAACGAAGACCTTTACTTCGAATACTTACAACAGCACAAGAAATACGTCCACCTACTCTGGACCGCCATGCACGATAGACTTTATGCCTCGTAGCACCGGTTGCGAGACACCCGACGCACAAGATCATGAATCCCAATGCCGCCATGCAGGCTCCGACTGACGCGAACACCAGCTGCATCGCGTCCAGCCATCCGAGGTGCAGATGAAACACCTTGAATCCATTTGATGATGTGAAATTCGCAAGATCTTCAGAATATATCTCAGAAGACTAGCTTCCAATGAGCTAAGTGATTTACCTGATCCATCATGAGAGCACATAATGTAGCACCTCTATACATAGTACCGCAGAAGATCCCAACTCCCAAGCAACACATTATGGTCGCTATGAGAGTCGCGTACGGCACTCTGGCCATGCAATCGTTGCACGTGTTCCCTGAAAGAGAATCAGGCAAGTCATAACATGTCATTTCAATTATTGTAAAGTGATCAATATAAATGATACAATACGTAAAAATAGTTATTATGCAAGAAATCACAATTGCAACCGTAACTACATATGTTACAGTTGAAGATGTTCCTGTCCTTTTATTATTTATTACCACATTTCAATGGTGTATTCACACAGAGGCACTTACTACATGTTCGATCTTCCTCTATGTCAAGACCATGGAGGCTACGTTCAGAAAATCTGTCTATACTGACATTGCTTGCAAACTGGTTGCGCAGGGGCAAACTCTCCCTTAACTCACGCAGTCTCACCATTTTAAATACAATCCGGCAAATCACACGGTGAACGATTAATAAAAGGTGATAAATCAAGAACAGGTGATGAAACGTGCGCGATCGGGTAGTGACTAAATGACAAACTATACTGATGACTAACCACTTATCTATATCTACAGGCTTGTCAGATAACGCTAACCGCACACAATCTCAGTTCATTCACAAACGCGATAGCGTAAATTCGCCGTACTAGCGTCTTCGGCAGAAGTAATTGAAACGTTTATTATTATACCGGCATCCGTAATTATTTCATCGCCCTGACAGAAATATCCCTCGAGAAATGGCACATCGAACGAAAATCCTAAACGAATTCTTAATTTCTTACAAGTGCGGTCAAATAAGTAACAATTTTCACGTTATATTAAGATGGGTAATTAAGTTAAAGAGGATACACAATGGAGAGTGTTAAATCAACTTAATAAAGGACAATTGCACCGATTAAGCAATTAACCTCGGTTGAGCAACTTTAGTACTTCCTCTCTTTCTACGGACTATTAACACCAGTATGATCGGACTAATTCCCTATTACTTTCCGATTCCACGTACAGAAAGGATCACAGATTTATCAATTGAACGTCGCTTATCTTTCGCCAATATTTACGATCATATGGACGTAAACTACATAGTCAAACATAGTCATCGACACAGCTCGTTAACGTAAATGATTCAGTATCAATTGGTTAATATCACGCGACGCACGATGACGACAAGAACAGAAGCATCGCGCGAAATATTACGAAATCACCACGTAAACTTACCCATATTCGTCCGAGCGTCTCTCGCGGTTGAGGTTAGGAACGCGCTCGCGGAGCAACAATGGACAGCGCCCGTTCGTGTCGCGGATTCCGCGATCGCAACTGTGCTCCCAGGAAAGCGTTGTTAATTAGCGCACCGCAATTGCACGTCGCTCGAGCGCGACAGCGAAGAACATATTCCACTCGCGTTCTCAGCGTTATCACTGATCACAGAAGAGAAAAGAACAAATTCACAAATGCACCGAACTCGATCCGACATTCGATCGAACTTGGGAGATTCGTCGGATGAAGAAACTTACGGTGTCGCGCGATTTTTTTTCCTCAGAAGATAGAACGCTTCGCGTCACGTCACTCGCTTGTTTACTACCTATCGGAGCTATGCCCCGGGACAATAGCCCGACGGGGTCTGATCAACTATAATCAACCACCTGTGAACGCAGCTTCCGGCTCCACGGATAATCTCTCTCCCTCCCGAATGACAATCCTATCGATTTTGTCTGTCGAGAGAGACAGTGGTCTCTCGGGGATTGTGAAGGACAGGTGACTTGTGCGGGGAACGGTCACGGGGAACAACGGTTCAATATGGCGTGCACACAAACGCGAATGTGACTGGGTGAATGGGATCGTTGCCCTCGCGGGGGATTGTAGGGCGCGTCGCAGCGAACGCTCACTGGAAACGTAGCTCCCTTCAATGGAACGACGTGCCGGGGTCGATAGGAATGATAATGACCGACTGTGACCCCGATTTGACAAGAGCTTCGGTTAACGGACGAATGAATATGTCCACGGGAGGCTCGGTTGGATCCGAGGAAGAACGCGATTTGTCTTCCCTCGCAAATTCTCGAGCCGTTGAGAAACGTACGAAACGTGATTTCTTTGTAATTTACATTATTCTTAACAAAATATGTAGTTATTACATTTATACGCGTTTCTGATCGTGTTTATGGCCTAATTGAGACACCTCTTTTCTTACTTTGTACATTACAGAGCCTTCTCATTTTTTTCTCAATCACGTCTCTTTCAGTTGTACCTTCTATATTAAGAGCAATCAAAATACTGATTTAAAATTTGTGTGAAAGAAGAGTCGAAGATTATATAGAAAATACAACTAATGAAAGATCTATCATAACATTTTCGTAAAAATTGAATTTGTTACAAAAATACATGATAAATATTAAATAATATTATAATATTAAATAATAATATTAATAATATTGATAGAATTATATTCATTTTGTGTGAATATTGATTAATATTATAGCATCATTTATTTTTTGCGCTAATTTTATATATATATTTATCTCTGTAGATACTTTTCATTGAGTTGATTGAAAACAACTCTCATAGGTCGATATTCATATCTTACATTTAAAAACGTCTTAAGTTAATCTTCAGATGTTTCACAGCCAATGAAAATGAGCCGTACAGCATCTGAAGATGAACTTAAGATGATCTTATATAAAATCCTATTATGAATATCGGCCACATAGTCACCTCACAAAGTGAGAAAATTTTAATTAGAAAAATATATTATTTTTCTATCAATATCTATATATACATGTTCTTGCTTTTAACGAGAGAGGTAACGGATAAATTGTTCCATAAAATTTTCTTTCGTACTTAGTAGAAAAAAAATTTCAATTTTCATTTATATAAAACCTATGTCCAGATGATATTTAACAATTTGCTTCTTTTTCTATATATAAGATAAATTTCCCTCCGTAACAAGTATTTTTAGTAGCTCCACACATTAGATAATCTTGTCTTCTCATCTTTCTTCTTATAATTATCTCTAGTATTGAGTTATATTTACATATGACAAAATATAAAAGTATCTCTGCACACGATAATTACAAGTCCAAGTCACAAGAGCAGCGAGAATAGAATATAACCGGGCGGCTCTTTATTATTGTATACTTAGAAAATTCACTAAAAAATTACGTTTCTACTAAGTTAGTATAAACTAATTTACAAATCTATGAGATAAGCTTACGGTTCACATAGGCGAGTGCGAGATTTCTCGGTTGTATCATACAAAATATTCGATATTTTGACGTGGAGCTACCGAATGCCTTTATATTTGGGTTGAATGAGATATTCGATGATCCTTGGCAATTGACGCAGTTTTTCCTGTACTGCGAAAGGTATCTCCGGATTTTGCTGATGATGCTTATTGTATCGCATAACATCGCCGTTATTACTCTCATATGTAATGCCGCTGCTATGATTCTGCGGATTCACCTGCAACAAACCGCAATCGTTGACAAAATACAAACAACGTAACATCCAAAACGATCAACTGATAATCTATCGCTGAATATAATAACTCATTATTAGAATAAATGATGAATTATTACGTTGAATAATGATCGATAATTAGAGATAATTAACGAATCGCTATTGCGCGATAACTTACGGTTAAAACGGAACCATCTTTATAATCGACCCTAATGTTACCAGATGTGAATTGCGTAGCAAAACCGATACCTGGCACCGCTACCTTGTCTACAATATTATTAGAACTATGCGTGGAGTTCATTTTACGCGACCTGGAGGCTACCGTCGAAACGACGGAGCAGGAAGCGTCGAAAGATGGCAACTGAAAAGGATTCTGTATTGAGAAGAGCCGAGAAACATGATTTTCGAGTTTATAATAGAAATATGCATTGTTACTTACGACGGGAGTACTGTTTGCTGTGTGCGAGATATTTTCCTTCCCCTGCATGCAGGGAGCATCATTCAAGGCCGCGTTCAAGGGCCTTCGTCCGATTATCACGGGAAAGCAGGGGTGACCTGTAGCCGCTTCTAAAGATGTCAAAGTGGACTCAAGCAGCAAGCAATGCTGGTAGCACTCGGAATAATGCTCGTAATAATTCTCTAGATAAATAGGAAGCTCGCCTTCAACGAACGTAGAGCTGCTCTCAGTGATCTTCACAACACCGTCTTCTCGGACAACCTACAATATTCGAACGGGCAAAAATTAAACAAGATAAAGACGCGTAAAAGTTAGCAATATGAAAAGATCATAGTGCACCTTCACTCCGTTGTAAAAGTGCATTTCGCAGTTGGGCTGCGGACCGTTCTCCATGAACAGGCACTTCGAGCGCTGAGTGTACAGCGTCAGCTTGGGAGTCTTCGCCCGGACCAGATTCACAAAACGAAAAGCGTACATGTATTTACGATGATGACACGCCGGCAGATTCTCGTATGAATAAATGCTGTCGGCGCCTCGGCTGGGCAATGGTGGCGGTTGCGAACCCACTTCCAGAGATATGTGAGGCTTATAAAGAACAACTCGCAGACCGTCGCCTGATATCCTGCACACTTCATTGACCTTTTCCTGCAACATCCAAATCGTACAATATTTTCTTTCTTCGTCGATGAAAGAGTATATACCATTATACGTATACTTGACGCAACACGCTGCTATATTTTTTAATATCGTTACATTCGTTGTGTTCTTTTCGTAGAAGAGATAAAAATGAAGAAAAATGAGAAAAGTGAGTCATTCCCGTGTCTGCATCAGCATTCTACGTACTTTGCCATTTCTACGCCTGGTGAATTCGATGCAGACTTCTCCGTTGTCCAAAATGGTGAGAATCGCGTTCTTCGTTCTGTGCCGGGTGGGTTGTAGCCTGTTGGAATTCAAGGGTGAGACCTGTAACTTCGTGTTCGCCTCCTCGGTTACTTCCGAGTTATGATTCTCCGCACTTTTCTCCCTTCGCTTGTGCCTCTCCACTTTCTGTTTGTTGGAGTCGTGCGCGTCGTAATATTCGTTCTGCGGGAATACCCTGGGAGGAAATGGAACACACTGCAATAAGGAGTCCTCCTTCGCGCAATAATTCGCGTACTTGGCTCCGTAGTTCGCGTGCGTTTTCATGATGGGCTCGGATAACGCCTCGCTTCTCAGGCTGACCATAGGACCGTTCAACATCATCGGCATCGTGGACATTCTCTCCTCAGACCGAGATCGCATTCTCGGTCGGGCGTAGGAGGATAAGGTTCTTCCGAGTCCAGAATCCACCATACCGTCGGTCAGGAAGTCTTTGCCAGCGCCATCTCTTTCCTGAAAATAAGAGAAACGGTTAATTTTCAATGGCATTTTCTTTTAATCGTTATCAAGGAAGATATTTGCTCGTACAATAGAAAAAGAATGTTTACAACTCACGTTATGCAGTCTACTCTTCTCTATGCTCGTGATAAACGGATGCTTGATGATGCTACGCAGGCGTATTCTGTCTTCCGGATTTTTCTTTAGCAATTTGTCTATCAGATCCTTCGCGTTTTCCGACAGATAATGCGGCATCACATAGTCAGCCATGACCACTCGAGTTAAGGTACTCTTGACAGTGTCGGTGTCAAAGGGCGGCTGGCCCACCAACAAGGTGTACAACATACATCCCAAGCTCCAGACATCCGCTTCCGGCCCGTGCGAAGATTTCGTCGCGACCTGAAAATGTTCGCCATTACGATCTCTATGTAATTCCGTGAATCTTTTGGCAATTTTTGCAAGTAACATTTACTTCAGGCGATATGTAGTTTGGCGTGCCACACATAGTCAAGTGTCGTTCATCTGGTCTACTCAGTTGAGTGGCTAATCCGAAATCCGCGATTTTCTGTAAACACGGAAATAAAATGGGAAAAAATACATCAAGGGTTTCTTTAATCTCGATATCATTATCACATTTTTTTCTAAATCGGAACGTCTCTATTTTATCTTTTTTTAATATGTTTACAAATGTATGAAGGAAGAGAGTTCATTTGAGTTTATTTTCATTTTACATGAAACCATGTATATCTCTACATACCACCTGCATATCTTTGGTCAAAAGTAAATTAGCTAATGACATATCTCTGTGAAGTATCTGATGGGAATGGAGATAAAGTAAACCTTGCACAACCTGTCTGATTATACGGGCAGCTGGAACAATACAATTTTATTATAATAATCTACTAGAGATACCTATGACACGCTTTCATGTGTAAACTATTTACACACCGCGTTCTTCGGACAAAGTCTTGGAACCCTGATCCTTGAGGAAGCGTTGGAGCTCTCCATTATGACACAATTCTAAAACTAGATATACATAGTTGGTGTCCTCAAAACAAGTGTATAATTCCAAAATAGCTGGGTGTTTTAGGCGCGAGTGAATATCCACTTCCTGCTTCACTCTAGCCACCATCCCAGCAGCTTGCATCCTCTTCTTGTCGATCTACAAAAATAAATAAATAAAGAGGTAAAATAGCCACCTATTTCTCAATAATTAACTTGGTTGTCATGTAATTTATGCAAGTGTTGGATTTTTGAATAAATTTTATTTCGCACAATGTTGTTTGCTTATTAATACAAGGAATAATTAGAGAATAAAGCAGCAATCAATGAATATCATTTACAGATTACAAATTCAAGCAAAACTATCCGGATACCACGATCTCAAGAATTGATATTGGTCTAAGAGTTGCTTGTCCAATATCTCAAATCTTGCCGGGCTCAATAAATAAGTTTACATTCGCGTTTCAAGCTGTCATTTGTCAAAATTGAAATTATTCCGTTTTAAAACCGATAAATCCGTCCGGCGACTGGACGCAACTGTAGCGTCGCGTTGTAGATCGTAGTAACTAAACATGCTTGATTAATTGAACAAGAAACAGACAGACGTATCACCATTTTGATCGCGACATCCGTGTTGCTGCGGAGACATTTTGCCCGGTAGACGCAGCCGTAGCCTCCTTTGCCAAGCAGATTCAACACTTTGTAATCCTGAAAATGGAAAGAAGGGAGAGAGAATTCGCGTTGGTGGCGCGTTGTCGTGTCGGCAACAGCAGAATGGCGCAAACGTGCGGTACGATTCAAAAATCTAACCTCAATGTGCTCGCCGAAGCCCGCCGACAACGCGGGCATGATCCGGGGCCTCATGCCGCGCTAAGGATCGTCCGGCGTCGATCAGCGTTCGCGTCACTCGCGGTAACGTTCGTCCCGTTACACAAAATCGGCTAGATGCTGCACACACCCGCGCGACGCTTCGCTCAGAAAACCGTAAATATAAACGACACGCCCGCCATAACAAAACTGACGCTCTTAATGAACGACGAGAGCCATCTGCAGCGAAACGCTGCAACTACTCGCCGAGTCTTCGAGACATAATGTCGCTGATATATTTTGTGTCGCTGTTATTAACTTTTTGCGTTGAAATCGCGTCCCCCAGACATTCTACTGTTTACGAGCAAAAATGTCCAGGATATTTCAAAAGGAATCTTAAAAGGCGACAGTTATAATCTCAATGAATCAATTTCCTTACGTTTGACTTTTCCCAGTTGCAAACAAATTATCTTTGACTAAATTAAATAAAAATGAATAAAAAAATTGAAATTCGTTATATTCATTGGTAAAAAAACAGGTCCGAACTTTATGATAAAATGAGCCAATGGGCTTCGATTTTAATAAATCTTTTTATATCGGTATTTATTTGCAGTCGAAAAAGTGCGGCTAAGTATGAATAAAATCATAGGCTCAGTTTTAATCGAGTCAGAGTTTGCGTGACAACTTTATACGAAACGTGGATCACAAAGTGTTAAATGCTAATGCAAAAGGTTCAAGGATTTATTTCTTCTAGCTTTTAACATAACTAATACACAATTCTTCTTCAGCTTCTAACATAATTAATACACAATTATTACTTCGCAAGAAGGAAATGTTTCAACGACATGCCGATTGTGAGCCGAACCGGAATTGCAAAATAATTAAAATCACTCGATAAGCTTGCAGCGTGGTCCAAATATAGATCGACGATTATAAAGATCTTCCTCGAACATTTTCGCAAGCGAGTTGCCGCGTAATCTACGGCCAATAATCTCGTCATATGTAAACTTTGTACTACGTAATTACAATCGCAGCAGATTGATTTGAACTACTCCACGCAATTAGTATCCCCAGATAAAGAGGCGACTCTAATTCGAATAATAAAACTTTCTCCCTTCCACGACGGAGCGCGAAACAGTTCGAAAACGAGTCCACGAGGCTTTTCTAACTGCTTTTCTTCGACACGATAGCAGTTACAGGAGGGTAAGATTTCAGCTCGGCTAGACGCTATCTTATCAAACAATGTGGGACCTCCGACCCCACACAAACACAGAGACCCATCGGGAGACCTTTAGCACCGATCTCTTCCCTCGTCGTTCGGCCATTCGTCGGTTGACCGGCCGAACGGAAGCACTTATTTAGTTGACTCTACATACATTCTCTCTCTTCGCCTCCAATCAAGTGAGCCGCTGATTCGCACCCCGGTTTATCTCCGACGGCCGGGTGGTTATCGCGAATATTTTCACCTCGGGAAAGGTAGAGCTCGGTCGTAAGTAACAACAGATCTCTCCGTAGATCCCCGATATCGATGTAGATCTGCAAGTAACAGGTTTTCAACATAGACGTCAAAGGTGACGTGAAAGTGAGAAAAGGGAAGTCAAAGAAATTCATTATCGTCGATAATATCAGTCGATAATATCAGTGGCCGTTTGTCGCGAAAGTTTCGCCATGTGCGCCTCGTCCAATCAGTGTTAATTACCATTGTCCGTGTCGTGTTGATAGGGTTTCGTAGATCGGCAATAATCTCCGACGGCTCGATGGGCCGCGTCGAGGGATGAGCAGTGCGGTGATAAAGACGCGTTGATCTCAGACCCGGAAGATTCCGCAAGTGGCAGGATTCGAGAGAACCTCCTCAGGGAACGAAGATGAGCATCAGGCCGATACTGCTTTTTGCGCTCGTGTGCACGACGCTCACCGTCGCGCGAGGAAGTAATTATCGGCAATTTCCGGTGGCTATTGCGGCGTCCGGTGTCTCATTAATTCGCGCTTTATTCTTATCGGGCGACGATGCATTGCGACGGAATGCGACACGTCTGGGATTTTAGATGTCAACCCAGATGCGGATACGAAAAAGAACACTGTTTTAATTTCTTACCGCCGTCGGTCTTGAAACATCAATCTGCACTTTCGCAAATCGTTCGCAAGCAACAGGCAAACGCTTTTCTACGTTATATATTTTTTTCCCATGTATAAATGATACTTAGTAATATTTTTCTCATATAGAAGATATTTGTGAAAAACTGTTAAAAATGTGAAAATACAGGGTGTATCTGAATGGACAAACTCACAAGATAAATTTTACATACAAAAAAATTAAATTAAAAAAGTCTTAGGTATATGTTCTCAAGCGTTTAATTAGTCTTCAAGAACAGGTAAGAAAAGTGCTGTATTAATATTCTTAACCACACTTATCGCGATACCTTTTCTTTTATCGTTATCTTCTGAATCCACATCTCAAAAACCAAGCTTTTTCGAATATGTGTTTATTAAGATTTTTTTTTACTTATTTCTCAACATAAGATCTATCCTGTAAGTTTGTTGGTAGAGTTCAGATATACCCTCTATATTGTAATCCGATAGCTTGAAAATGCTTATGCAAAAGTATGTTAACCAAACATATGCAAACAAATTTAGTATCTAAAGTTGAGTTACTCGAATTTTTTTTTTTTTTTCATTCTGTTAAAATCTATTTACTATGAAAAATTTGTAACTTACTTTAAATTATCCGGGAACTTCTTTTAAATATTTCATCGCAACAGAGAGTCTTATCTTTCATATATATTCTACAACATTCCTCTCATTTTTCTTTCACAGAAATTATCAAGGACTCCACGTCATGTGGCCGAACAAAATGCAAGGGTAAGTGAGGGCAAGCATATATAAGCTTCAGCTAACGTTTTCGGCATCATATGACGTCGTACTGCGGCTCAGGTTACGTTTCCTGGAAATTTGTCCGACGTTACTTTCAAGTCATCCTAGTCACATGTCCCAAACGCACAGCGTCAAAAAACCTTGGAAAGACGAGAAGACGCATTCTTGCTGAGGCGATATATGTTACGAGAATCTCTCGCCCACGTCGTCGTGTTTTCTCTAACAGCAGTTCTTGATTTTTTTTTCTCTTACTAAACGCGGTTAGTTAAAAAAAAAAATCACCTTATAACAAATCAATATACAAATTGTATCTTCTTTATTGCGTTACACTAATTGCGTACGTATCTGAAATACTTAAAAATGTAATTCGTTTAATTGACGAATTAAATTATCTTACACGTCTCTGCATTTCCTTCTCGCGTGTTTTTATGCGTGAGTTGAATTGCAGTTGTTTTTCTAACGCTCGAAGAAAAATTCACTGCGACTCTGAGTCGTAATACTCGTGCGCCTTATCGAGATGAAGAACCTCCGACCTTTCTTCTCTAAACGCATACTTGAACTTCGAACGGGGGGTTTGCGTAAATGACGGGAATGACGGAATACGGATGTCAAAACTTCGTTAAAAACATATTATTTACGAATTCTAGCAATTTGCAATTTAGCTTATGTTCTAAATTCAAATTCGATAACTTCATCATTTCTACGAAATCGCTATTTCTCTCCGATAGATAGGCGAGTGCATATTAACGTGTACACATTGATACCAGTATTGTAAACACAATATACGCCCCGCATATTTCCCTACGATATTTTTCTTCCTTCCAGTGCCGCTGGAACGAAAGTTCAAGTACCAAGAAGACGTGAATTACGTGTACACGTACTCCGTGGACGTAAACACGAACCTGGGCTACCAGCCGCCGTCCCTTCACTCTCAGACCGATTCCACCCTGCACATCGACGCCGTTCTGACCGTGCACTTCGCCAGTCCCTGCGAGGGCAGCCTGAGGTTCCTCAACGCCAGCGTCAGCCATGATCGCAGCACGTACAACGCCGAGTTCCCGGATCGAGCGGGGTCCGAGTTCAAGGCCAGCCTGGAGCGTTTCGCGCTCAAGTTCGCCTACGACGACGGCGTGATCCACGAATTATGCCCGGACCGGCAGGAGCCGGTCTGGGTGCTCAACCTGAAGCGCGGTGTGTTGTCGATGCTGCAGAACAGCATGAGGCGCTTCGACGTGGACCACCAGCTAGAAGAGTCGGACGTGCACGGCATCTGCGACACGAAGTATCACCTGTACGAGGCGCTGCGGACCAGTCTGATCGTGAAGAAGATCAAGAATCTGGCTGACTGCCGACACGGATCGAAATATTTCTCCGTCGTGCAGTCGAATCCTTACAGGAGCCCGCGGCGGCAGCATGGCCAGAACGGGTTGCTCAAGTCTCACAGCGAGTGCAACATCACCATCGATCACAACGTGTACACGAAGGTGGTATGCGAGGAGACACGGCAGTTGCAGCCGCTCTCGAACGGCCACAAGGCCGGCGCCAAGACCGAGTCGAAGACGACGCTCGAGTTGGTTCAGGAGACGACGGATACGAGCTTCCTCCGTGATTTCGACGAGTACGAGAGCAACCACGACGACGACGACAAGGACGAGGACAACCTAATCGGAAGTATTCCTCATGTAAAGAGGACCACGTTGCTGTATGATCACACGAAGACGTTGAAGACCATACACGGCGAGCTACGGACCTCCCGCGATCTCCTGAAGATCATGTGCAAACTCGCAGCGAACGCCGACGAGCTGCAGCAGAGGTTCTCCGAGACGTTCACGAATTTCGTTCATTCGGCTCGCTTCCTGAATTACCCGTCGTTGTCGCAGCTGTTCGCGAGGGCCAATAGCATTTGCAAGAGTGGAAAGTACGTAAAATATTGTCGTAAAATAATATTGACTCAGATATCAAAGCATCTCTACTTCATTTCTATTTGAATACGACGAAAGTCGCTCGTCAGTTTTTCACGCGATCGGATTTGTAACTTCCAGTTCGCGAAATTCTCGCTTAATATTGCGTCCGTTTACCCTTTTCTTCGTTCATCAGGAATCACATCCTCGCGGCACTGCCGTACCTGAACAGCAACGCCGCGGTGAACATGATGAGGGACCTGATAATGAAGAGATACGTGAATCAGGAGACCATCGACGACTGGATCATCACGTTCGCTCTGTTCCCGCAACCGGACCGCGACACCATTAAAACCATGTCGCAGTTGCTGAACTTCCAGATCCCCCACGTCCAGTTCGTCCTCAGCTACTCCACCATCATTCACACGTACTGCAGGAACAACGACGTCAACTGCATCGAATTTGGGGAAGCGAACGTGTTCCTGTCGCATCTCCAGCAGAAGATTTCAGAGGGCTGCACACCCCGTCTTCGTTCCTCTCCCGAGACGAAAGAGACGCTGGAAGCTTTGAAGGCGATCGGCAATATGGGACTCGAGACAAGGAGCCTGCGACGAGAGCTGAGGAAGTGCATAGACGACACCGGTGGATTTCTGCCGATGGAAGTTCGCTTAGCCGCCGTCGACGCTCATCGCCGACTGCCGTCCTGCGAGGAGACCCGGGATGAGTTCCTCCTCGATTATTACCGCAACACAACGCTCGACACGGAAATCCGTATCGCCTCTTACTTGCAAGTGATGCGTTGTCCCGATTACAATGTCGTCAAGACCATCAAGCACGCTCTCAAGGTGGAGGAAGTCAACCAAGGTTCGTGTCTTACTCTTGAAAGCTTAGACGTTCATTACTTTGAGGAATTTATATTTCGACATTACCTATGTCTCAATCATTTTCATTAATAGCTCAATCATTCTGATTTCAAATTCACTTAAAAGAATCTTGTTCAGCATCACGCTTGCCGCCTCATCAATTTTCGATCAATCTCGGTCAAAATTCGCAAGCTTCCGCCGGTGGTTTCTTCTTCTTCTCAGTTTTCATTCCCTAATTGTTCGCAGTCGGTACTTTCGTGTGGAGCCATTTAACGAATATCTACAGTTCGTCCTCGCCCACGAAAATCGAGATCCAGAGTCTGCTGACGGACAGAGACTTCAGTAACAAGTTCAACAACGACATGAGAAAGTTCTCGCGTAACTACGACAGCTCCTTCTTCTCCGAGGAGTATAACATCGGCGCGAATTATCAGACGAATCTGATCTTCTCGCCGAAATCGTACATGCCGCGGTCGCTCATGTTCAACGTAACCGCCGACGTCTTCGGCGAGTCCGTGAACCTGTTTGAAATCACGGCGCGAATGGAAGGTCTCGAGTTTTACGCGGAGAATCTCTTCGGTCCAAATGGCATTTACAGCAACGAGAAGATCTCCGGCCACATCCGGGACATCCTCCGACGTTTCCGATCGGCGCCGGAGAGCGAGAATTACTGGGACGGCGTGAAACGGCTGCCTAACGTGATCGATAATAATTTCTTACATCCGAAAGTCAGCTTCGGCTATAAGGTAATGGGGAAACAAATCACACAGAAATATTCTCACTAATTTAACTAAACTTTCAATTAAGTCCCAACTGAACTTTGTTGGTAAATAGAAACAAAATTTAATTAATAATAGAAAGAAAAAGATATTCGGCCGTGGTGATAAGACAAGGTAAGTGTGTCGCAGAAAGTGAAACTATTTCATAGCTGCGGATTGTGCGGATATAATATTTCCTTTATAATGTAATAACATTTCATGATACTGTAACGATAGATACATCATTATAATAATATATTGCGTTCCGTTATTTGTCACAGATATTCGGGAATGAGTTGAAGTTCACGATGCTCGACGGCGACGAGGAAGTGAGGGGCGCGCTCGCGCAGTTCAACCCTTGGCAGAAGATGAAGGAGTTCCTGGCGATGCGGGAGATCCTCTACGAGAGGACGACGATGTACCTGGATTCCTCGTACGTCGTGCCGATGGGGTCCGGCCTGCCGATTCGCTTGGACGTCGCCGGTTCGGCGGCGTGCAACCTCAAGATCTCGAAGACGATGACGGACCGTTTCCTCCCCGACAGCGAGTTCGAGCTCAACGGCAATGTCGCTTCCAGCACGAGCGTCGACACGGTGGGCACGATGACGGTAGACGCGTTCTACAAATCCGCCGGGCTGAGGCTGCGAACGAATCTCTACTCCTCCGGCACCGTGCAGATTCACCTGAACATGAACGGCACTCGTCTGGTGCGCGTCAGCCTGGGTCTGCCGAGCCGCAAGATAGAGGTGTTCTCGTTGCTCTCGGACGTTGCTCTGATCAAAAGCAACGGCGCCGAGATCGAGGAGAAGCCGTTGGGTGTGCTGATGGCTGGCCAGAATCCGAAGAAGTCGCGGTACACTGCGGCTGTGCTCAGGAACATCGTCAGCAACACCACCTGCACCTGGACCGCCTTGGACAGACTGATAGGCCTGAAGATGTGCACCGACTATCAGTTCTCCAACGTGACGAAGAATCCGGACGCGCCGTACTTCATTTTGAACGGGCTGACGCTCTTCAAGATCTCGCTGAACAAGGTCGACCCCACGGCGAGGAACTACGTTTTCGAGTATAGTTGGAACACAACCCGGGAGCACAACATGCTCAAGCTGATGTTCGACACGCCCGGCTCCCAAGTGAACCGAGAATTGAGCGCCATCGTCGATTTCGACACGATAAACAACAAGGTTAACCTTCTACTGCATTCGGCCGGTAATTCTTTCGTCGCCAAGGGCACGTATAAGAATTCCGAGGACGAGATTTTCCTCGACGTCAGTTTCGACATCAACGGCACGAAGCACCTGGACGCCAGCTTGGGGTACACGAGGACGAAGTTGAATCACGGTTACGCCTACGATCCCAGGGTTTATTTAACCATCAACAGCGAACGCGTCGCCGCCATTTCGGGCTCCGTCAGGAACATACAGAAGAACAACGCCTCGCAGATCGACGTGAACCTGACTTTCCAGACCAAGCGAGTCTGGAGCAACCTGTCCGGCTACATCATCACGCGGAACATCAGCGTGACCTGTGACCTGACGATGGCGTATCAGCTGCAGCGAATGCCGCGGAAGGAGAGCTTGACCGTGCAGGGCGCGCTCTTCGATCGCTCGTCGAAGACGCTCGCGCACAAAGCGGCCGAGATGAACATCACCTCCACCGCTTATCCGCAGCTCAACACCATGATGAACGCCTCGTATCAGCAAGCGTTTGGCCACTTGGAGCTGCAGGCGGAGGTGAACCTCAAGCCGAATCCCAAGAACGATCGGGACAAGCTCAAGGCGCAGTTCATCGTCTCCTACTTGAAGCTGTTCTTCCAAGACGAGGGTACGAAGGTGAACGCGCTGATAGCCGTGACGAAACCTACTCAGAACTTGGACATCAAAGTGGGGGTGAATCACTACACCCTCGGCGCCGAGTCGAAGACCAATTTGCTCATAGGATACGCACCAGGTAAGGAGTAAAAGTTCGCTGAAGGAGGGAGGATCGAAGAGCATTGTACGCGCGGCTTTCTCTTTGCAGGCAAGGAAATCAGCCTGGTCGTCAACGTCGTCATGCCGCGCGGTATACTGTTCTCCATACAAGGCCGCACGAACCTGACGATTCCCAACTACAACTCGATGCTGATGAACGTGCGCGTGAACGAACGGTCCCGACGCGAGTACGAGCTGGATTTCTCCGGCACTTGGTTCAGCGGCCACAACATCACCGCGCGTGGCGCCTATTCCGATCGATCGGCCGCCGCCGTGATGAACCACCACCTCAAGATGGTCCTCAAGTCGCCGAGCTTCGCCAACCTGATCCTGCTCAACTGCTTCCTCTACCAGAACCACAGCGACCTCAGGATCAGCCTGTACGCCGAACAGCCGGACTTCGACAAGTACGCCTTCGTGCTGAACCACACGGTGCTGTCGGAGACCAACCTGATGTCCTACGTCGAGGCTAGATATCGGAGCAACGTGTATTCGATAACGACGAACGTCGACACTGCGCGGGAAATCCGGCTGGAGATGCATCTGGACAAGTGGCGGGACGTGCACCTGACCTTGACCGGCATCAACGAGAAGGACCGGCAGGAGTTCGCGGCGGAGATCAAGTGGGACGCCAACAGGGATCCCGCGTTAAAGGTCGGCACGATGTTGCAGTTCAACAAGATCTACCTGATCGCCTCGCCCGGGGTCCAACGGACCGCTATGGTTATGCTGACCTATCCGGGCCGACTCGTGACCGGATCGTGCGACTTGGTGATACGCAGCCCGCACAGCTACCTGCTGGACGTCAGTCTCGACTGGAGTCCGGAGAAACGGATCAAGGCGTCGATCGGCGCGAATTACGACCTGCAACCGGAGGTAACGTCTATGAAGTTGGAGTCCCAGCTGTTGACACCCTTCGAACAGTGGAAGAAGACAGCCTTGAACGCGAAGTGAGTGCGCGTGATTCGATCGCTTGAGTATCTTCAGCTTTCTGCAACCGTTCAAATCCTATCTCTGCCCACAGATACGTGCAAATGCCGGACAAGATCCTGGCCAGCAGTAGCGTTTACTGGAACGACTCTCAGCACATGACCGCGGAGTTCCACGGGAGCACGAGTGAGCACGAGCAGCTGAAGGAGTGGATGGCAAACTGCGCCCTGACCAGCACCGTCCACAACTTCTCATGGGTGATCGTGAACGTCACGCACAAAGTGCTGCGCTCCGAGACGGCGGACAGCCACGTGCTGATCAAGTACAGTCCCGACAAGACGATCGACGCGCGCAGCATCTGGCACCTGGACAAGCGATCGGACGACGTGTTCAACTTGACCGGCAACCTGCACCTCTACACGCCCTTCGCGAACTATCACAGGGCCGAGCTCAAGTGTCAACTGCGCCTCATGTCCAGCTGGATGTTCCTCGGTGGAGCCAACCTCGACCTGGACAAGCGCAAGTACACCGGCCGCCTGATCGGCGACCTCGTGCGCTGGAAGGAGTCCAAAGTGGAGTTCAACGTCACTACGCCCTTGGAGAAGTTCGCCTTCGTGCGAGGCAGATTCGGTCTGTCCGAGAGCAACCGCCACGTGGTGGCGATGATCGACACCCCGGACGGTCCGCTCGGCGTCGAGGTTCGCTTGCAAATCCTCATGTCCTCTTACTTCAACGTGAAATTCATGCTGGCTACGCCGATCGACGTTCTACAGAAGGCCCTCCTGGTGGCTAAGCTGAATTCGCGCGAGGCCGATTTCCGTGTCGGCTACAACAACATGACCGCCGGTTTCCTCGGCATTTGGCACTATAATAACATCACCGACTTCGACTACAGCTACATAGTGCTCACACCGCTTGACGGCCTGCATGAGTGCGGCGTAACCACTAGGCTCATCGTAGTGGGCACGGAGCCCAGCAATATGCTGGACGTGGACACGGAGTTCTCGTTGAAATGCGCGGAGATCAAATTCGGCGTGAAGACTAAGGGAGGGCCGAAACTTCCCCCCGTGAAAATCCCCCTGAAGAAGGGTATCAAAACGACAGACCATCCTGGGTCTAATGAGGAGGAAGAGGAGGAGGAGGAAGAGGAGGAAGACGACGAGGATAATTTCTTCTGGCGAGGAGAAGCGGAGGTGATTGTGATTCGAATAACAGTCACCCCCCCCCCCCCGAGAACTTAATCATAGGAAACGTCTAATTTCAATGTTGAGCTCGGGGAATTAATTTATAGCGATATCTACAAATTAACTTAGGACTTAGAATTGAGATTTTCAGGCGTGATTATTCATTTTTTTTTCATACAATTGCAAAAGTTAGACTATAGATTTTTTTTAATTTATAGATATGGCTCGCGATAATAGAGGTTATATCGGGCGAATTGGATATCGATTACGAAGGCTCCGCATATAAGATTCTGAGCACGGTGAACCTGCCGCCTGGTAAAATCGTCTTGGACGACAACTTTCTCATGGAGGATGTCTTTAATATGAAAAATGACCTGCACGTTGATCTGTCGTTCAGCAGCATCCGAGAAATAACATCGTTGTACACTCTCATGATCGATATGGGGAACCCTATTTCTACCTACTTCGTGGAAATGAACGTGAACGTCAGGAGAAATACCACGTGGATCGAGGTACGTTGGACGGTAATATTTTTACGTTGACGAACCGACGAGGTAAAATGTTGCGGCTAAGTAAGCATTTATCACCCACGTAGACCGGATTTCATGGAAATTACACGTATCGAAAACACGACATGGATAAGAAAAACGGGGATAATGCGATAACGTATTTCGTGAGGTTCGACATAAAGACGCCGTTAGACTTCCTTAAAGATCTCCGTACTAACACAGTCGTAGAGATCGAAGGCAAACGATACAACAGCACGATCGCGATTCGTGGAGAACAACTGACCATCGATTTACACGGAGATGTTAAGGTAAGATTCTCTCAAAATTTACGAATGGATACTCGTGAATCGATGAAAATCAAACGAAGCTATTTTCTACCTCGGGTAGATGGAGGAAGCTCTGTTAGATGCCTTGATCTCGGGTGCGATCGATTCACACGTGATGAAAATACCGAAAACCACGATCGTAGCAAAGAAAAACTTCACTGGGGACAGAAAGCAGTTTAAGTTTAACGCCAGCATGGAAGAGCCAGTGTCAGAATACGTAAGTTAATCCCGATAACTTTTAATTGAACAATGGAGAATTTAACATATTTGATCAATAATCATCTGATTTTCTTCGATTGATTCAGCAAGTAATAAGAATGAAGGAGGCTGCAGAGTTAGAGTTCTAGAAATGGCTTCAGATGTTTTAATAATCCGTAAAAGTTGAATTATCATTAATTATCATTAATTAGAATACACCGTCTAATTAATCCAAATCTAATTAATCCGTCTCCCGTCAGACGGCCTTCGAGTGCTCTTGGCAAACAGACGAGAACCTCGTGAGAGCTTCCGCGAAGCTCGAGACCTGGATAAGAGCCCTAAAATCGCTCGAGACCGACGTGCTCTACAGCAACGCGATTCGCGTGAACAACACCGCGAAGCTGAACGTCTACGTGAAACATCTCGGCGAACGGGAGTATCAGCTGAACGGGAACCTGAACAACGGCAAGATCGACGCCGACTTGCACACACCGCTGTCGCAGAAGCCGCACTTTCAGTTCCACGGAAACTTGGTCCGGATCAACGAGTCGCTGTACAACGTCAAAGGGGAGCTGAAGAACCAGCTGTCGGCGAAATCCTACAACGTCAACAGCGCCATCGTCACACAGGATGACGCTCTGACTTCGATAGACATAACGGCCGAGCCGAGGAGCGCCGACACCGATAAAATCACCTTGAAGATGAAGAGAAAGAAGTACGGGCTTCAACTCGATATGAACGGCGGATCTTTCAACAGCACCGTCGATGCCAACATAATCAACTCTCTAAACTGGGACATGAGAGCGCTAACGCATATCCAGCAGGACGGTGAGGTCGACACGTATCGTTTGGACACCTTCATGAACGTGCAGGTGAACGGCAACACCAGCCTGTACATTCATGCCGAGACACCCTGGAACGACAGTAGGGCCTTGACGGTGAACGGAAACCTGATGCTGACCAACACGAGCGGCGACTTTCGGCTGAATCATCAAATGAACGACAATCGATACCACACGGCAATTCAGTGGAAACTGATCTCCCTGGAGGACATGTTCGCGAAACTAACGGCGGAATACGAGAGCGCGGAATCGAACAGGAAGGACTTCGTCACTCATGCGTTCTTCAAGAACCCCGGCCGGTTGTACAGAAACCTCGACGTGGGATTCAACGTGGATATCGATCGAAAGGCTTGGGAGTTTGGGACGAACGCGACCTTAGGTTTCCGCAATGAGCGGAACGTCGACGCGGTGTTCATCGTAAGACTGCCGCCCCCAAACAACGACGATCACCGGTTCCTGATCAGTTATCACATGATCAACAATATAGAGGACATCTCTTACGTCGTGGGCTACAACACGGTTCGCTCGAAGGCGAATTACGCCTCGGATGGCTCGGTACGTGTGAGACTTCCCGACCGTTCTGAAGGTCTCTTCAAGTACTGACAGCGATTTTCAGCAACTCCGATTAAGTTCAACCATCGGTTGAAATTCAACGGAACTGATCAGTCGCATTGATCGCTTTAGCTAATTGACCGATTGGTCAATTTCGTTGAGATAACCGGAGTTGATGAAAGTCACCCTGAGGCTCGAGATCATCCTCACGAATTCCAAATTTCAGCTCCGTATAGTTACCCGCGACATCAACGGCCACTTCCGAGTGACCTGGGGCTTGTTGCCAAGTCAATCCATGCACAATCTCTTCAACATCACCTTCGACAAGAAGGAGATGGAGCTCAAGTATTCTCTCTACATGCCGAGGCTTCTGCAGGAGGAGACCATCATGCTGCTCTGCAGTTACGACTGCACGTCCAACGAGCGGAATCTGATCAATGCCGATCTGTTTTATCCGCCTGGGCGGCAGATCGGTACCGCCAGAATATCGTATGAAAGTCTGTTTAACGTTAATGGTACCGTTAACGTTTCGATAGCTAGCCAGGACTTGTCGTACCTCGGCTGCAACTTCGTTGTGCTTACTACTTTGTAAGTTAATTATGTATATTTTAGCGAAGAGACGTTTCAAAAAATTACTTCGACTTTTCCTTCCGCTATTAACACTTCTCAACATTTTATTTTCTGTAAGAGCGAACCTTCTCGAAGTTATGTGAAAAGGTTCCTAATAATGTTCAAGTAATTCTTAGCGTTCTTTCAATGCTCTCTTCGACTATCGTCTCCTTTTTCGCTGTGCACACAGGAAGCAGAACAAAAGATTCGTCGAGCTCTACTGGACAAACAAAACGGCCTTGCTGAACTCCGATTACACCTATCACAGCGAGCGACTGGACTCAAGCCTGGAAGGTATCCTGCGCGTAGAAGTTCCCTTGAGTCATCGTCATATAGGCCACTTGACTTACGGCTACAAGAAACGTCCTCAAGTCACAACGGGCCACTCGATATTGGTGTACAACGATCAGAAGGTGCTGCATGCTCAATATAATTCGAAGAGCGAGTCCAGAGCCGGCTTCGAGAAGGATCGCATTCAGGTCACCGTAGAGAACATCTACAAGCCCATAGGTCTCGTCTACGTGAACCAGTACGAGTACAGCGGCGGAAACGAAGGAACGAACTACCCCACCGTGGAGTTCAAGCAGGTGAACGTCTACAGACTCGACAACAGCTCGGCCTTCAACATCGTCGGCGAGTCCAGGATCAGGACTACCCATACTGGCCAAAATATCCACCTGAAGGCGATGCACTTGAACAGGACCGTTCAATTCAAGACGGACTACCAAGTGTTGCCGGGTGAATTCGATCAGTACACCTGGCTGAGCTTGGCGGAAGATGCTTGGGCATCGTACCACGTGAACATCATGAACTACACTACCGAGGTCATCGACAACCAGTTCATGATCCTCAACATCTCCTATCCGCAGCATAACTTCACCCTGGAGGGCTCCTACAAAATCACCAGCGACAAGATAAACTCCGAGGCGAACTTGCGATGGGAACGAGACAACGAAAAGTCGAAAAACGTCGGCGCGGCCTTCAACTGGACCAACGTCACCGTCGACGGGGAGTCGAAGAGTCAGCAGCGGGCCGTGCTGAGCTTTCGGCATCCCACGTTCAAGAAAGACGTGACGATGAGGAGCGACTTGATGAGGAAGGACCAACGGGACCTATTGAACGTCGTCTTCGCCGTGGACTACTCCACCGACATCGACAAGCTGTTGACGTTGTCCGCGTTTCTGAGGGATGAGAGCGACGAGCTGAACAGGAAGTACCACTACAGGATAACCGGCCAGCACACCAGCACGAAAATGGACCTCAACATCGAAGGGTTCGTTCACAGGCATGGATTCGTGCTGCTCGAGACGGTGAATCACGCGCGGTACAAGCGCGGCTACATGCCCGGCGAGGTCGGCGAACTGACCGGCCGGATCGATCGGGATTCAAGAGAGATTCTCTTCCGACGGGTGAACAACGAGGCGGTCAAGTACTTCAAGATCGGCTATTATCCGTCGCACACCCGTTATACCGTCAACGGCAGCATCATCGACACGCCGCAGCTCAACGCCACCGGCGCCTTCTTCTTGGATCCGAGTGACAAGCTCATCTGGATGATGATGAATTACACGCCCGGTAAGTGTTACACCGAGTGATGGTAACATCTTCAAGTATATTGACGCCAGAGTCAGTAACATCATGAGAAGCAACCAGTTGCATGTAACGTTGCAAATTACTTCCCGTTACGAAGTTATTTTACATTAGCAACGACATTTTCTGATCTGACATGACATTTGCAGATGCGATAGAAAGCCTAAGGATGCACGGTAAAATCCCGGACGCTCGAAACGCGATATTCAACATCTGGAGAACATACGAGGACGATTTGTCAATATCGGACGTTTCCTTCTACTTGAAGCTGAACCACTCGAGACTCGTTACGTCGACTTTGCGATGGCGGCCTGAACTGAAGAGCGACATTATCGTAAGATGAATATGAAAGAAGTCACTCGTATTTAATACGATTTCGGGAAATAATTACAATTAACGGGAATCTCTCTCACGGATGCTTGCAGAACGCCGGGAAGACTGCCTTCAACAAAATGTGCGATGGCTTAAACGACGACATCGACTACTGGAAGCAATATATAAAAAATGAAGTGATAAGCGGCATCACGGATGTCTGGGACGATGCTCAGCAGGATATTTCGGGATTCCTCGACGATTGGAAGTGAGTACATGAAATATCCGTTACTAAATCGTGTCATATGTACACCTTCGCTATTCAAGTTCTATGAAAACTTTACAGAGAACGACAAGAAGTACATAATATTAAAATAGAAAAAAAAAACGCCATAATGGATGAGACAATTATTTGTGTATCATTCATTGGTCGAAATAATCTTTACCATCTCTGTGCTATTTTTTTTTACAGCGACCTGAAGAGTCTCGAGAAGGACTTCGACGATCTCAAGGTGTATTTGAACGACTCGTACAACGCCAACGACTTCTACATCAAAGACATCGTCGGTCTCGGTATACACCTCATCGACGAACTGTCCCTGCGTAGTCACATCGAGTCACTACCCAATATTCTGAACGAGATCTGGGAGATAATGGGCGAGTCCGGCGAAGCGTTGCGGAATTCCCTGATCTGGCTCATCGAGACCATCGAGAATGCTTACAACAAGGTCTCCGAGTTCATCGGCGCCGTGCTGAGGGGCGAATCGGTATCGCAGGTGACGGACGTAATCGAGAAGTTGATCGAGAAATACGACATGTTCATGAAGAACCTGCACGTGTCCTTCATCAAGTATATCGAGAATCTCTGGAACGAAATCGCCTCGTCTCTCTCGCAGCAATGGTACCGTTTCCTGAAAGGGATGGAACCACTGTTCATTCAGTTCGTTCATTATGTCGAGACGGCTGTGTGGCGAGCGAGCAAAGAGGTGTTGGACTTCCTGTACGACCGTAAGAAGGAGATCGTCACGTCGCCTTACTTCGACCGCCTCACCAACTTCACGCAGGACATCGACAAGTTCTACCGCGACATCAAGGCGAACGATATAGTGACCAACGTGAACAAGTACTCGCGAGTGGTGATACAGTTCCTGAAGGACCGTTATTTCGCCTACATGCCGTTCGGCAAGGAGCTGAAGGACGTGATCGACGACATCCTGTCGGAGCTGAAGGAGTTGAAGAAACTACCGTCCGCCAAGTACGCCTTGGAGAAGTTCGATCAGGTGTACAATAGGATCAACTACATCTACGAATACTTCGAAGTTAAGACCAAGCTGGAGAATCTGATCCGACTTGTATATTCCAAGATGATGGACATCAGTCAGACGGCGTTGCAGGCTGAGAGTCGCTACAGGGAGGCCAAGACCATGTTCATCTTCGATCCTAATCAGGGCCTGATATGCTTGGAACAGAAGCTACCGATGTCCTGGCACGCCTTCAATCAGACGCCCGAGTTCCACGAGATACCGGAATTACGAGCGATCGCGGATCTCAAGACGTACTTCGTCACTTCGAACACCACCTTCTGGGGCCTCTATTATCAATATAAACCCTACTCGGACCTGTCCAACTGGTTACCGCCGTTCAAAGGTTCGTCTCACATCTATGAAAACTTAACAACGTTTGAACTCGCCCTGATACTCCTCCTCGTTGAATTCCTTATTAGAAAAAAAAAAGAAATAAACATCGATAATCAATTGCTTATGATAAATAACACACACGTTGTTTCAGCACAAGCTATGATTATCGGTTCTCAGCATTACGTCACTTTCGATGGCCGTTACTTCGACTTCGCCGGGAGCTGCACCTACTTGTTAGCGAAGGATTTCGTGCACGACACTTTCGCCGTTCTAGTGAAATACAACCAAGGCGAGGAAATCATTCACCAAATCGTAGTACTGATCGGGAACAACGCTATCGAGTTGGACCTCTTTAACGACGTTAGTAGAAAAGTCATCACTACGTAATATGAAACAAGTATCACTTTCTCCGGAGTAATCAAAGGTCAAATTGATCATTTCATTGCACGACAGGTTTATAAAATCATTTAAACATATCACACAGAACAATCACTTACCCATCAGACGCTATGTAATATTCTTCAGACGATAAAGGTGATTTCTCAAGAAGCGGGGACCACGAGCAACCTGCAGCTGCCAGTTGACTTGGACCACGGCACGACGTACGTCTACCAAGAAGAGAACATGGTGACGGTGGAACGTAAAAACAAGCAGTTCCGTCTCGAGTGCAATCTCAAGTTCAACCTGTGCTCGCTGGAGCTGTCCGGCTGGTACTACGGCAAGACCGCCGGTCTGCTCGGCACGATGAGCAACGAGCAGTTCGACGACTACTTGGCATCGAACGGTGTGATCGTCAAGGACATCGACAGCCTCGCTCACAGTTGGGCGATCGACGACTGCGCGAGCGGCGCGGCTAATCGCGCCAGCATGACCATGCAGCGGGATAGCGTGGTGTCCAACTTCTGCGAGGATCTGTTCCTGAACAAAAGCTCGGAATTCGGCATCTGCTTCGGCGTGATCAGTCCGATCGAGTACTCCAGCATGTGCCTGAACAGCCTTACCGAGGCCGAGGCTTGCACCGTGGCGATATCGTACATGCAGACGTGCATGTTCTACAACACTTATCTGCGAATACCGGACCGCTGCACCACCTGCAGCATGATAGACGGCAGCCAGGTGGCCGAAGGCCGGTTCAAACGGCTGGAGGGCGACACGGTGCCGCAAACGACCGACGTGGTGTTCATCGTCGAAGCGAAGAGCTGCAATCGTGATATAAAGTTCAACAGCAGCATGGAGCTGTTGATCGTGCAGATGAACAAGGAGCTGAACTACCAAGGCCTCAACAGCAATCGCTGGTCTCTGGTGGTTTTCGGCGGCGACGGTGTGTACGACCAACCCAGAAGCATCGTCCTCGACGGGCAGATCTTCACCAAGAACGCGGAGCGCTTCGCGGATTACTTCAACTATATACCGGTCGGCAACGGCAGCCGGGATATCTTCGCCGCGATCGGCTTTGCTTCACAGCTCGTCTTCAGAGCTGGCGTGTCCAAGACTTTCGTACTGATACCCTGCTCGCACTGCGAGTCGGAGAATCAGATGGTAAGTTTCTCCTCTTCCAGATGTAGCCTTGTGAAATTTTATCATCCTCCAATTCCTTCTTTAATATCTCAAGCACTCACTTCTCGATTCACGTGTCGGTGATCTCTTGAACTCTCGACGATCGACTTTTAATTTCAGACAAAATAGTAAAAGCCGAATTCCCACGTCTTCAACACATCCTGACAATTTCCTCGAAATATCTTCGATGCTCTCCTCTATATGTCGTTCCTCTCTCATCTCTTTAAGCTCCAACTACCACATTCGTTACGTTCAAACATTGTAATCTACAATACATGTAATAAAAAATTTCCTGGATCTTAAGGGAACTCCGTATTAATCGATCTCGATTTTCAGCTGGAGTATTCCGTATTACACCAAGTACTGCTGGAGCACGACATCACCCTGCACATACTGATGGACGGCGACTTCCAATTCGACAAGGAGAAGGTCAGCAAGATTTTCTACGGCTTGGACGCGCGCAAATCGTACACCGAGAAAGACGCGAGAGTACTAGTGGGCGATGTGGACCTGAGGAGACAAGTGAAACTCTCGAAGAACGCGTTGGGTTACTGCACCCCGCTGTCACTGGAGACGAACGGCACGATATTCAGCGGCGACAAGCTGCGTAATTCTGCCTCGAGTAAGAAACTGGCGAGCGTTTTTGCCAAGAGGGTTGCCCTGACGGCCAAGCCTAACCAGTGTCAATATTGCGAGTGCACCGCCGACAATAATGGTATTACGCAAATGGAATGTATGCCCTGTGAATACCCGACGCCGGTGCACGTTGATTACGTCAGTGTAAGTATCAATGATAATCCATCGAATGTTCCAAACGCGAAATTTCGGGTGAAATGTCCGAAAGACTCGTGGAAGAAAGGAAGATAAAAATATTTTTTGGACATCTTTAAGATCTTATGAACATGGTCTGTTCTTTTTTAGAACGAGACAAAATATACTTGTCTCACTCTAACTTACAGCACCGGTTCAGCAGTGCAGCTGAAAAGAACAAAACAATATAATGTTTGAGAAGATGTACATCCGTCAAGTATCTGATCGAATTATTTTTTTTTCTGTCATGTTACAGGAAACATTTGATTTTAACGAGACGCTCTCGATGATACCACCATTGGACGATGCAGACTACGGTCAAATCGATATAGACGACGACTGAAGCATAATTACGTAAAATCGTTTTAACCAGACGATGATAGTTAACTTGCCGACATATTAGTCGTATTTATTTATATCGTACCTTAAAACCTAGTGCGTTATACCTACCTCCTTTCCTAATCGAGGATTTATCTTGTAAGCATTTAGCACAGAGTTAGAAGCTGAGATCTGAGATGAGAATCTTCATAAATCTGCACGATTTTTCGTTCCCGAGTAATAATGGGAAATCTAGTACCAAGTAGACTCTATAGAATTCATAGTCTATTACTATGTATTTTTCCGCGCGTCTCTCGAATGAATACGATAATTATCATAAGAAACATATCGATGATATATGACAATAAAAAATATATCAAAATAAAATGTAATTACTTGAATAATACAGCACTGCGATGGTAATATTAGAGCCATCGGGACGCGATATAATAATTATTCATGATAATAACCGGATAGGAATGTGCGTGGATTGGCGGAAGTGGTGCAATCGTCATGTAGAAACACAACACAGGATCGATATATAAAACTTTTCTGTCTATATATTATCTGTATATATATATAAGGTCTGAGACTTGCTATATATATAAAAATGTAATGCAAACCGGGAAATGGCAATTGATTCGCGTTACATTCTCCGCGCCTCTCGTCTTCAACCATCGCATTTACATCGTTTATTCCGGTGCGGAATATGGCGAGTATATCTAAGACACCTCCCTCCACGAAATCCTCCTCATATAACAAAAGGATAAACTCTATAACGACGCGCGTGGTAATCGGAGGAGAAAACCCAGTAGTCGACAAGTAGGGGCAAATGAAAAGGAGACCGCGCGTACCGGAAACTTTCACAATATGGCCGTGATAGACTGAACATCGCAGCGTATACATAGCGACGATAAGACGGAAGAGGAGGGCCGGCGATATATCGCCTATATCGCCTAAACCCCTCGATGGTTTGGCCACTATTTTACTCGTGATAATAACTTTAACTCAACCCGTCTAAAAATGGTCACCTGGTATCGTGAGCTTGCAGATGATTCGGCGCGTCGGCGAATGTGAACTTCAACTTGTACGCCTCGGCCACCAGCACACCGATCTCCGAGTCCGTCCAGTTCTGAGTGGGCAGGTTTTGTAGCATTAACATCAGCCCCTGCAGTTGGTAAAAAAAAAAAAAAAAAAAAAAAAAAAAAAAAAAAAAAANACGGTATAGCGTCATGTGACTCTCCGAGATGGATAACCGTGTAAGATAAGAGAGACCAAAGAAATCTATAAGAAGCTTTATCCGCACGTAAAGATTTGAGATTTGTTCTTTCTTCTCCGTGGGAATCGGTACTAATAATTGACTGACATTAATATCGAGTTTAAGGGGATGTCAAAGTCGAGCGATTAACTGATAATAATGAATGAATTACTTGGAAATCAGGTTGCAAGAGTAAGTGACGCCTCCAGCGCAGAAGAAAGGCCGCGCATACGTAGAGCTGGAATGAAGCGAATCTGTCAGATTCCGCCAGGTAGGTGTCCCACAGACGAATGGTGCAGTGAAGTGGGATCTCCCTGGTCAGTAGATTGTTCATCCACCGGAAGGAAAACTGTAGATAATCCACCCCGTGCTGATGCAGGTGCTGATGCAGCGGTGCTGGAAGAAATACGTTTCAAGCGAAACACAGAGGCGAACGCACCGTGCTGAGCTGGCAGCGACTTCTCGGAATATTCACCGTCAATCCTCTGTATCAGTTCCTTCAATTGATTCACCTTGTGCTGAATTCCCAATTGAGCAAATATGTAATTGTCCTGTATACCGTCTAGAAATTTCGACAGGCACCAAAAGCTGTCGGCCTCGATGATGTCGCGCTGCTCCTTCGACAACGATGCCACGTCGTAGTTCTCGAGATCTTGCCAGGCTTGCACAGGTACCGCTTCTTGTAAGAAGACTAAGAAGAAGGGCGTCACCAAGTCATTCATACCCTGCCGGAACAATCGATTTGTGCAATCTTGCCGGTGGCGGACGACGAGGACGACGGTTCCAAGAGGGCGATTACCTGAACATAGCCGGACGCGGGATGCCTGATCGCCCAGATGTACAGTATTCTCTCGAATATTAACTGCACCGTCGTCTGCTGGAACAGCGATATGAGCGGCGACATTCGCGGTATGTCGATATGAATCTGCCGATACGTGTCTTGGAAGGCCTCGTCGCGCTCGACGTCGTAGTATTGCTTCACCAGGTTCCAGTAGTCCAGTCGTTTGCGCTCCAACACGTGCTGCCTACGCTCCAGATTAGCCGGCAGGTATTCCTGCAAGCGTGTCACAAACACGTTCACGTAACTCTTCACGGGTACGCTCGATCAATGGGGCCCGTCGATAACGCGTGTTTTACCTTCGCTACTTACAGACAACAACCGCCAGGTGACGGAACGCAATTTGGCCGGCACGCCCGACCACGACAGTTGCCTCAGTTCGTCCAAATTCAGCACGGACGCTTCCAGAAGTAATTGAAACTTGTCCACTTTACTTTCGCCATCTGAACAAGACGAGTGGTTCTTAGATCGCCCGTCACAGGCATGTAGACATAATTAATAGAACGATACTTCGTGCATCCGCAATTGCACAAAGAATCCGTGAGATAATGTAAGACATTATCGGTTATCCTAAAATAAAGCAGCAGCACTATTGCTATTGACAGCAGCAGTGCTATTGACTACGAAGGCAACAGAGGGGAGCGAATGAAATTTCACGTCTTACAGCGAATTCGATCACTCACACTATATATTAAAGGCTGCTATACATAATAATTACTATATACATATAATACTAGACATAAAGTATTCAACTACGCAAAACCGGTGTGGTGTAAGTGATCGAATTCACTATTAGATATTACAGCGAAATTCTCGAGCATTGAGAGTGATCGTTGGAAAAGTACCTTGCTCCTTAGAAGGTATAAAAAACTTGGCAGGTGGATTGGTTTGCCGTAACAGCTGCGGTCTACCGGGGAACTGCGTCGGTCTGTGCTGAGGCGACGCGCCGTACTTCAGATCCGCATCCTCGCCGCCGAGATGATGATGCTGACTGTTGTTCACCTGCGAGTGAATGAGCAAATTCGCGTTGCGCAGATGCAACGGCTGCACCGCCAGTCGCTGAAGGGCCTCCGCCTTCTTCTCCTCGGGGATAATTTCCCGCTGGACCGTCTTGACGTTCGTCTGTCGCTCCGCACAAGCGTTACCGGATCTGTGGCTGTTGATGACACTGAGGGCCGCCGAGTGACTGACTTTCTTCGATATCTTGACGTCCGAGACGGTGCAAAATTCATCGTCCCCCGAGTCCCACGCGTCGTCGACGCTTTCTTGAAAGTCTTGGAAGGAAGTGGAACCGCCGCTGCCACCGGTACTGCCGCTGCTGTTAATTGTACTCGTCAGGTTGCCAGAACCGATTGCCATAGTGTTGAACTTGCCATGTCTGATGTCTTGCTTGGGGCTCGGCCTTGAAGTAAACCCAGTAGTTGACAAGTTAATCTGATGATACGCGATACATATTGGTAGAGGAAGTAATATCAAAAGGGATACACACCTTCCCGGCACAGCTCGCGTATTCTTCTTCCAGAAAGACTGATGGGTCGAAAGAGTCTGATGGTGGTAACCTTGATTCTCCATAGCGGAGAAATATCGAGTTAACTGGCACCTGGTGATCTCGCTACGCAACCGCTGCCGTATGGTTCGTTATTCATGCCCTTGCAATGACTACTGAGGATCTACAAGTGCCAAGAATCTATTTTCATCGTGGTCATCGTTATCATAACAAACATCACTAATTTGTGAACGCGACATAAAGAAAAACTTATACACAATCGCATGTATAACACCGCGATAACGGACGTTCTAATGCGCAAAGTAGAATTCGGCGATGAACTTGAACGTTTCGTCGCACATAAAATATCGCCAAGTATCACATTAGTTACACATACTCTTATTATACATACAGCGTAGACACAAGGTGTCAAGCGTGTAACGCCGTCGAGCCAAGTCGCCAAGTGACTAAGCGGTACGATAATGACGTCAGAAAGAAAGAGAGAGAGAGAGTGAGTTGAGAATAATAATAGGAATAACGTGAGGAACAAATAATGAATTCGGGGTAGGCGCGTGGTCGGGAAGATAACAAACGCGACGCCGTAACATATGATTTTCCGGGCGCTCGGTGCGGACGACGACGCGCCGCCCGACAGCCTCTGCAGCGCGCTACGGGTGGTTACTCCTATAATTAAATTTCACACGGACGCACTTCGCGGCAGAGACAAAAATACACGGTTCCCGTTGGGCCAACGAGGCGGTGGGCACTCGGCTGCTACCGAGAATAAGGTTATGTTGCGTAAGTTGCGTCAGTCGCGCGAACGCCGTTGTGCGATCTGGTGAGAAGATCGTGTAGAAAAGAGAAGTGTGCGCTGCGCGAGATGCAACGGGACGAGGCGAGACGAGGCGAGACGCGCGCTTACATCCGCCGCCGCCGCGCAATTATGCCGATCCTGTGCGAGAAGGATCGAAGCCTCGGCCAGCAGCGGGTTCGGTCTATCAGTGTTGTCTATGCCGCGGCGCCGACGACCACGTTGTCACCCGTTGTCTTGATCGTCGTCGTCACGTTTGGATCACGATAGATCGCGATTCCAGTCGCGCGCGAGATTCACCAGTCGTTCCTGTTCCCGCAAGCGCGCGCGGCACGCTCCGAAGACGCGCCCTTCGGAGCTACACTTGGACTTGCCAGTGGCGGCGACTTTGCTTCCGTCGGCCAGCTCGCCGCGCGCCAGCAGGTACGATTTTGACGTATGGCCGACCGCGTCTCGGACGCGAGCGCTGGCTGCTTTGCTTTTTGCGTGTACACACACTGTGCGTGCGGATACCTGCTTTGAGAACTTTACACCTATTCGCGCACCTCATCACGCCTGCGGCGCACGCACACACATTCCTTCTTCCTCTTCCTCTTGTTTTGCAGATTACCGCTCATTTCCGTATTCTATACGGATACGTGCCGGCACGATTCCCAGCAAATGCGAGCTCTAACCGGAATTATACGGCAAGTTGCGCATCCCGCAACTTGCGACTTGCTTAATTCCGAGCGGGAAATTCTTGCGGAATTTCCTGCGATTAACGAATTATAGTGTATTATGCAATCGATCGGTCATTTCGCGCGGATCTCGCTACTGCGTTGAGAATTTAATCTGTTTACAATTTGTACTGTTTACATTTGATTTCGAGCTGTTTCGAAATTTCCGCTGATGATTACTCTCGTTGACATTGTTTACTTCCTCGTTGACGGCCTCTTTTTACATAGAGGCTATAGACGCAAAAAAATAAAAATTTGTTTCACACCGATCGTTTCATATGAAAATCCATGTCCTAATTACATTAATGGAATCCTCCACGCAAACCTGTGAAATTTTGTATCGCGTAAGTTTCACATTCAGAATGTAAAACGTTGCCGTAACAATGAAAAAACAAAGCGATAATTCTCAAGGCCGTGTTTCACACTACAATTATAATTCCAAGTGCAGTTTGCAACGAACCTGCAAGTCCAAGTTCCATTGCAGTTTGTAATGGAGTAGCGCAGATGTTCCCACTTTTCTTTACACATTTATATCATTAGGTAAATATATATATATATATATATATATCAAATATTAATTAAAATTAAAATTATTAAAACTAAACAATTAAAACTGAGTTAAAAGTTTTTTTTTAACTTAACTTTTAACTAACTAGTTATTACCTAAACCTGATTTTAATAAAACTCATTCGCGAGCGTCAATCATCGAATTAGACTTGATGCACTATCTTTAGCTTCTGTTCAACCTAGAGCACTTTATAATCCTATTTGTCGGATCGATAAACTTAATCCATGTCTGTCGGTAAAATATTCTACGAGACTCTGCTTCGTCTGCTTCTTCATGTTTTTTCCCTCGTCTAGTAAAACCATATTCACGATAGTCCATCCATTTTCTTTTCGCAAACACATGCATGCAGTATCGACTTATACAAATTATTCATTTCGCAAAAAATCTCAACGAGGCAAATGTCTCTGTATGTTAATACATTTTTTACTTATGTTTTTTTAGTGTTTTTTTTTAGAGTTTTTTATTAATTCCTTGGAAATCTGGCATTAAAAACTTTAATAATTTTTTCATCAACTTAAAGCAGCTGTGTCTAATGCCGAGAATTATTCGATACCAATGATAAATTATTGTAAACGTTTAAGCATCAGGGCACTCGACTTTTATATTATCCCGAGAGGGTACAGTGAACTTCCATTGTGACGTTCGTGACCTAATCATCTTTGCGAGGGAGATTTTTTTTCCACCATTTCTCGTCCATTATCTTAGCTATATCTGCAAGAAAATTAATTATTCATGATCACGCGTATTTCTATGCTTGAAGCGATTCCAATGCAGTTTATTTAAATTTTATTATCTGCGACGTGACGCAAAATGAGATATCAGAAAAACAACGAACACACACTATTGAATGATTATGTTTGAACAAGATTGCACTCTCAACCTGTTATTTTGCTAATTATAAGGAAATCGAAGACCGGGAATCAAAAATCGAGAGTCAAAAATAGAGTCAAATATTAGCTTCCGGTTATTCTTCAATTGACCCTTGATCAGTAAAGCTGCTCTGAACATTTCCCTCCACATTTTATAATTTCTTCTTAACGTCGTCCGAATGATACTCCACACACGAACGGTCTGCTTAATCGGACTTTACACCAAATGTATTTTCTTCGATATATACGATAAAAGGGATCGTGAAAGTAAGCTCGTTTAGTGCTATCAATTTCATCTACCTGGGCGGCCTGGTCTTTCGGGATTACCCGGATATCCGGTTAACCGAGCATTTCGGGCGTCACGAATTATTGATTTTTCTAACAACGATAACAAACGAAATGTATTACAGACTCGTAACCGTTTACCCGTGTTACTATTTTCTAGCCGAGATAATATCCGTGAATATGGGAGTCCGCCTATCCAAGTAATACCCGCGATTATGGGTATCCAGATATTGAAGTGCCCGGACTACACCGACACTATAATTGAAAAAAGACCGTTAGGATCGAATAAAACATCTCCATACATGCATCACGCGCACACCCCACCGACTCGATCGAATAACCGCGAGAGAAGCGCGCGAGGAAATCGTTCGTAAACACGGAGAGGAAAGATCCTTCTAACGGAACCGAAGTATCCTTTAAAGCCATCTTAGCCGCACTTAAGGGCGAGGGTGGCCCCCCGTGACCCTTGTTACGTTACTGATCCTCCCGTCTCGTACCGACCCGCGGATGCGCAGGGTCACGTGTCTCCGCCGACGCTGTCGGACGGACAGAGCCCGGCCGCGCGTCCAGGTCAACGCTGATCAGTCAGTGTACGGCCCGGCGCCGAGTTTTCCCGCGTCGCGAGAATCACGGCGGACCGTAGCGGGGAAGTCGCGTCGCTATCCGCGACTTTTCCGCGCGAGCGGGAGAGAAGGAGAGAGAGGGAGAGAGAGGATTCGCACACGAGGTGCGAGAGGACCACGCGGGATCCTGCGATCCCCTACGCTCGGGACGTGCACACGAGAGAGCTCTCGCGCGCGTTCCTCGCGAGGCGAGGACGATCGATTCCGCAGTCGCGTCCGCCCGCGCGTCCCACATGCCTACAACGTTACTCCGGCGTACCTCTCGGATTCCCTCCGTTTAAGCGTTTTAAGCACGCATCGCGCTCTATTTTCGGGTGAATTATTGATGGCTATCGATCCGTCGTGATTACGCCCGCGCAATCGCACGCGCGCCGATTACCACCGGGTCCGGTGTGTGAATACGTTTTACACATCGTCGTATGCGCGCGGAGTGTCGTTAGGACGCGAGGAGGAGGACAACGCGCCCGCGTTTGCACGCAGTTACGCGTACTCTCGCGTCCACGTAGTAACGCCGTGTCGTCCTTACGGACGCGGCGATATCGGCGGAAGCGATTGATCCGCGTGATCGCCGCCAATCTTGTCGTCGATCCGCTTGTATCCACGTTATTTATCTATACATATATATGTCTGCTTATATTTATTTGCTTTTGTGTGTATTCAAGTGCATGTAACTTTTTGGATCGATAATAAACAGATTCAGGTCTCACAAGGCCTTTGATCTCGTTGAATATATTACGTAAAGTTTTATCTACTCACTCGTGTGTATTCAGATAGTTTTCTTGTAATCGATAATAAGTTAGATTCGCTTCCCACATTCTTTTAAACAAATTTTTATATCCTTGGGACAGAAATGGAAGAAATTCGCGGGAAAATGGAGACAAACGGATTTTTTTTTCCGTAACTTTAAAACTATACGCTTAATAATTAATAAATTATATAAAATTTGTTTACTCGCTCGTATGTATGTTCAAATAGCTTTCTTTTAATCGTAATCGATAAATAAATAAATTAGACCGATTTGACTGCTGGGAGGAAACAAAATTTCTCACGTATAATTATATATAGAATATGCCATATGCTATATATAATTTATACATGATATATATAATTATGTATTAATACATATATATTTATATATAATAATATATAACTATATTGCCACTTCATATATAATTATATACAATTATACATGGAAAATCGTTTCCCGGACGCCAAAGAAGCCTTTGATTTCGCTCGATAAATTCAAAAAATTTTGCGCGGTTTCCGGTCGAGAAAACCGCGAAGTCCGGTGCGATCGTCTCCTTGGCAACCGCACGTTATCGTCAGATTCTAGGATTCTTTCCCGTACAATAACACGGCCGACGTTTTGTACGCGCGCTTCCGCGACCGGCTCGCGATCATCGCGAATCGGTGCATCGCGCGCGAGAGAGCCATCGTGCAAATTTCGAGCGCGCGCGCGCTTTCTCCGTCCCCTCCGCGCGGAGATTTAGGAAATGTAGGTCTAGTCTTTTATACTTTCTTCGTGGCAGTCTACTTTCCTCCGTGCCGAAATCCGCTCCGTGCCGTTCACATCAGTCGGTCGCCGTCGCCTGTCACCGGAGGATCGCGCGGTGTTTTCCGATTTCCGATCGTAAGTCCGACCGTAAGCGCGGCGTCGCGCGTTGCTTGCTTGCTCGTCTGTTTGTTTGTTCATTTGTTTGCTTCGCGCAAGATCTCTTGCAACGGTGAAATCTAGCTATCCCTCGTAAACGACACCGTCGGATTTTACCTGGCGAGATCGCGCTCGTAGAGAGAGAGGTGGAAGGAAAGTTCCGACTCGGAAGAGATCGCACGGCATGTTACGTTAATTACGATCAATTAATGATCGCTTTCATCGATCGATTTCTTCGTTCCAAGTGACGCTAATTGGGAATCGGCGGTTTTCTACTGTCAATTCGAGTGTTTTGGCGCCGGTGCGCGGTGTGACACGCTTTTCTCTTATGTTCCCGGCGGAAAAATTGCGATCTCGACGGCGGGAGATCGCGCGGAAACGCCGGAGTTCTTTCAGCTCGCGCTCGCTTGCCGCAAATTTCTTGCTGGCCGGAGGAAGGCCCCGTTTTGCAGGAAAGTGGAATTAATCACTAAAATTGATAAAATGGAGGAACACGATAGAAAATGAGAAAGCTGGTGGCTTCGTTCGATTACGTTGCATCGTTCGCAGGCGGAAATTAGATCGCTCCTCGCGTTGCTTTCGAAGATGCCGAGCGTAGCGATAATTTTCGGCGATAAGCAGGTGCGGAGGGAGAGGGGGAAAGAGAACATGATAAGAGAATTATATTGGACCATACATCGTAGGTAATGCTTCAGATAAATATCTTAAATTAATAATTATCAGGAGAGAGAGAGAGAGAGAGAGAGAGAGAGAGAGAGACAGAAGTTTGACGGTGCCGAGCGTTTATATTGCGAAAACGTTACTTCGTGCTATCAATTATGTAAATTGTGTCCTGTAACGACGTGAACGAAAACATTCTTGTCGTTGTTATCGCTCGCTGGTTAACAGATGTTTATCCTCGCGCCGTTTCCCAGTGGTTGTTTCTTTCGCGGTGTCGCAAACGTTGCGTTCGCAGAAAATTCAATATCACCTCCGGCACTACCGTATTTACAACGTGCGCACATTTTATCTTCGAACGATTATCAGAGTACACGCGGATTCCCAGGCACGAGGCTAAGTAAATTCAAGATAAAATCGAGCGTTTCTTGCATATCGGCCCGTTAGATTCCTTGCATCTTGCATCTTGGTATGTGCTTATCGTCGAAAAATGATCGCCCCACGTTCGGCATTATCGAGAGCAACGCGAAAAGCGATCTAATTTTCGCCTGCGAACGATACAACATGTACGGCGATTTTTAATGCGTTGTTAACGCGACGTTACGATATTTTTCGCAATATTTCCCCAGTCACAATCCCATATCTTTCCTCGTAACGTCTCCGTAATGTTTTTCTTTTTCTCTCTGATATATATCAGAATTATGGAAATAACCACGGAATAATGAATAATCAAATTGCGGTTTGACCGAGATTTCAAGGATTTATTCCGTTTTCTTTGCAGATCGGTCTTCTAAAGCGGACAGAACATGTCGGACGTCGAGGGCGACGACGAGGTAAGCAGCTTACGTGTCGACACGGCGAACTTGCTAAAGAATCGGTGATTTAAATTGCACAACTTATATGCGTTTATTTTTATTGCTTTTTGTGTTTTAGTTCCAAGATGCGCAGGAGTCTTTACCGCAGTGCGTATATATATATCCATATCTACGTTCCTTTTTATCCGAGGTGTCCTTGTGAATAATCGCGTACCAGATAGCATAATTAGTTTCATTTACGTTCTTTCAACGCATATATATATATAAGCAATTATAAAACGTTATATACGTTTGAGGAACATATAGCTCTCATTTAAAAACCGCCGTTCGAGCGGAATTTTGGTGAACGAAAAGTCGCCTTGTTTAGTACCAAGAATCCTTCAGTGCACTCCGCCTACGATTATTCTGGGACACCCTGCGTAATATGCACATCGTGTTGTTGTTTCTTCACTCGAGACACCGAACATACATTTCTCTCTCTGCACTTCCCTGCAGGCTCACCTCCATGGACTTGGACACGGCGATAATGGAGGCGAAGCAGGCGATACACTACTTCTTCAACAACGACTTCGACGAGGCTAGGAAGATCCTGGAACCGTGGGCAGACAGCAGCATGTACCACTCCCTGGGGCACAGCGTGTTCATGTATTTCGAGGCGATTCTTACGTTCGAAGATGTACAGAATCACTACGTTACGCTTCTGATTGACGCAAACCGACATAATAGCCTTAACGTATAAAGTTGTACCGTCTTAAAGCTATCAGTCGAGAAGTACTCCAGGTTTTTCAGAAGCGTGTTAAGGCTACTACGCCGATCTGCATTACGTTACGATTCATCCGACCTTAGAATCGCGCACGTGCGTGAAGTTACTTTGCCTTTAATAATGTATCGTGTGTACAGCTGTATCTGGAGAGGGCGGTGGAGGCGCTGAAGCAGTGCATGAGCGTGTGCTCCAAACACCGCAAGCACACCAGCATCACGCAGAACCTCGGTAAAATGGTCAAGCGAATCAACTACGACACTTACACGATCGGTAAAGCATTTATTATACATGTTGTTCAGCACGACCTTTGCCGCGTATTATACGTGCGCGCGCGCGCGCGCGCGCTGCGGACTTGCCTAAGACAAGTGTCAATTATGCGAGCATCGCACATTAATATGCGCACATTAACAAATGCTTCGGAATCGACCAACAAAGCCGTGTGTAATATGCAAAACTGGTTTACCAAGCTGACCGTTTACTGTCGGGTAAAAAATCTCGAGGAAGTTAACTATTCTTAATCTTTGCTCTCTCGGTATAGATTCTTCACCCATCATTGTTAGTATTATTCTCCGGTGATATTAACACTCAAATCTCGCCAAATGACCGACTAACTCGACGATAATAGTCCTTCGACAGCCGTCATTATTTTAATCGTAAGCGCCGCGTTGCATGAAAGGAATGACCGAGGATTAATATTGCAGAGGAGGTGCATGCGGAGCTCTGTTATGCCGAGTCTCTTCTCTTAAAATCGATGCTCACGTTTGTGGAGGACGAAACGCTGGTCAGCTTTGTCAAAGCAGGACTGAAAATTCGCACCTGCTATTTGTCGTACAAGTAAATAAAGCCAGACACTTTCCCGGGGCGGACTTTACCGCCGTCATCCTGCGCTCTCGACGCTCTCGGCGATGACGACGATGACTCACCGCCGTTATTCTTTTGCAGGGAGTGCCTGACGATCCTGAACAGTCGCAAATGGGAGAACGAAGTTCTCAAGATGCACTTCGAGAGCGGCGTTCGTATGGGCATCGGTTTGTTCAATTTGGTACGTACACGAGCAGAATAATGTGTCACCTGTGATAACAAGTAATCTATGAATCGTTACGGAACGGCTCGTCTTCCTCTTACATTTCGTAAGTCTTGTATATTTATATTTTATTTCTTTTACAAGCTCACGAGTAAACCCGAATGGTAACATTTGTATATTAACAGCATGTACATTTTTTATCATTATACGGACATTTTAAATATGCGTAAAGTGGATTTTATATCTAACTTTTACCTGATCTAACTTAGCAAAAATTGATGAAATTATTTGGTTTAAATATAACAGCGCAATTTTTGTATTTCACGACGCCACAAAAAATCAATAGTGGGTTTGATGAACTTGATTTCATATTGATGATAAAGGGAAAATAAGTATCATTTAAATGATAAAATTTAAATGATAAAAAATTAGTGCCACTTGCCTGTATCGATTTTTGAATTTTCAATATTAACTATCTTCATAATTAACATCAATATAGAACACGTGAACTGTTTCAGCTATTAATTTAAACCAATCACTTATCCTTCCTCTTTCCACTGTGTTTAATTTATAATATTTTACGTAGTTTGCATCGACTATATGAAAAAATCCAAGTAAACGTCACGTAAACAATATGTAAATTATTCGTAGAGGCAATCTTGAAATCTACGGCGAAACCCTGGAAAATCCCTTTCTTTCAGATAATATCATTGTTACCGGCGCGAATCATCAAGCTGCTGGAATTTATCGGATTCTCCGGCGATAAGGTAAAACAAATCAGAGACGACGATTGTATTATTGCTCCACGTGAGAGAATTTGATTGACTCTCTCGACGTCACCGAATACACAGGAGTACGGCCTAGCGGAACTGAAGGCGGGCTACAGCGAAAGGAGGGGCCTCCGATACATCCTGTGCGTGATGACCCTGCTGGCGTACAATCTGATTCTCTCCTTCGTGCTGAGCCACGTGGACGGCGACCTGGATTGGTGCGAGCGGGTGTTGGACGAGGAGCTGAGGCTCTATCCGAACGGCGTCTGGTTCCTGTTCTTCAAGGGCAGGCTGGAGCTGACACGCGGCAACATCGAGAACTGCGTGGACTGGTACACGAAAGCGTGGCAGATGCAAGACATATGGCCGCAGTTTCACCACCTGTGCTACTGGGAGCTGATGTGGGCGCACTGCTCGATGCAGCAGTGGGACAAGGCGGTCGTCTACGTGACCAAGCTCACGGAACACTCCAACTGGTCGCCCACCATGTACATGTATCAGAAAGCGGCGATCCTCATCATGCAGAAGCCGTCGTCCTGGAGCGAGGAGGGCCAGCTGATAGACAGCCTGATGATGCAGGCGCCCGACTTCAAGCAACGCATCGCCGGCAAGTCCCTGCCGATGGAGAAGTTCGTGGTGAAGAAGACGGAGCGTTACTTCGCGCAGAAGAAAAAGCTGGTACTGCCCGTGTTCGAGCTGCTCTACGTGTGGAATTTCCTACGGATAATCGGCAAACGGCCGGACCTGATGATGAACATATTCAAGGTAGTGGAGGAGGAGGAGAGGGCATTCCACACGTCGGTCTTACTTTCGACGTGAGTATCCCGGACGATATTTTGATTTTTGCTTTACGTAAACGCTCATATCGGCATGGCGTAAGTGGTGTAAGTGACATAATCGACTTTGCGTAAGCGGAAAAAAGCGGAAAAAGCGACCATCGATATGATTGCCGATAATTACACACGCACGCAGGCGTTCTCGTAATCGAGAAGAAACGAGAAAAAGACGATGTTGTTTTTTTTTTTTTTTTTTTAGAAACGACACATTTGCGCCGTGTTCCCGCAGGAAAGATGAGTTCTACTCGGACAACTTGGCGCTCCTATTGCTACTTAAAGGCGCTTGTTTGCGACAATTGAAACATCCTCTACAGGCGGAAGAGTGTCTGCGCGGTGTCTTGCAGCTGGAGAAGTCAGTCAAAGAAGACACGTATTTATTCCCTTACGCCACCGTGGAATTAGCGTTGTTGGCTCAAGACCAAGGCAACATTCAATTGGCTATAAGCTTGTTGGAACATGCCAAGTGAGTGGCCCGTTTCGCTCACAATATTGCATATCATTACGCCAATTTGAATACACTAATATACCTTGCGAACCTTTTAATCGAAGTACAATTGACTTGACCGTTTCCATATTCCAGGAAGAATTACACGGGCTACTTGTTGGAGTCTAGATTGCATTTCAGAATACACGCGCATCTGATGATGCTGACGAAGAAGACGAACGGTGCGAACGCGACGAAGCAAAGTCAAGCGGACATTACTGCCAATAAGAGCGTCATCGTCGAGGGTCCAAGCGCCAATGATTCCATCGAAATTAAATCCTAGACGCTAGACACGCCCTCGTACTGTAAAATAGGTTCCGAACGAACATGTAAAGATATTTATTTATCCAGGTAGTTTGTTTTGTACCTCTTTAGGCTGCATCTATATCGTCCGTATGACAAGACTTTGTCGCGCGACTCCCGCGACGACCGAGATCGTTTTGATAGCTGCGTTTTGATAGCGACCTGGCGGTTCTCTTTTCGAAAGGCCTCGCACGCGACTTCCCTCTGCTAAAATTCCACGGTTTCGCTAAAAAAAAAAAAAAGGTAGGCTCTTACGGTGTCATCATCGGAGCCTCCACAATGATCGGACGGACTTTGTAGCGTTCGATATGAAAGTGTAAATTATTCTCCTCCTCGAGAAGAGACGAACGAGACAGCGCACGTGTCTCGGCGTCATCCTTCGCGAGGACAACCGCGGTTATTTCGTACATACATAATACATATATATAGTATAAATTATATCCCTCCACGAAATGACGGAAGATCACGGTATATTTCACGGGACTTTGTGCGAGGATATATAACGTGCAAGGTATTTTATATAGGTATATTAATATATTGTATACATATTCTCGATACATAAATTATTCCCCTTTGCGAGGAAACCGACGAAATTTTGAGCGAGTGAACCGTGACCCGTTCAATATCAATTGGTGAAAGATTGTTATCAATATTGACGTTTTACGAGACTGTATATACGCTAACGTGACTATGGATGTGTAAATGGATGAATAAAGTGAATTTAAAATAATGTTGCTTACGCGAACGAGTTTCCTTTTTTTTATATTGACTTCCATATCCCATGTAATTCCGTAATTAGGAACCTTTAATACGGAAATATTGAAAATTTAATATTGAATAAAAATAGCTAACAAAATGTAAGAATTTAGAATAATAAATGCGAACAGATGTTTTCATAAAAACTGCAGATTGACTGATTTTCCGCATTTTTCTCAAAACATAGCTACAAGAAAGTAGCCTAATTAATTGATTTTAATTAATATTTATAAAAACGGTAAATATTTATTATGGATAGATATAAAGCTACGATTTAAAAATAAGTTGTCTAATTCGCTGTTAAGTGCACTACTTGAAAATAGGATTGAGCTAGGACGACTCAACGACAAATCTGACGGATCTTTTCTTTTCAAATAGTACGACTCATCAATGAATTAAACGACTTTTTATTGTCAAATAATACGTCTAAACCGCAAATATGACTTTTATCTTAAACAACAACTCGGGAGAATCTTGAATTTTCAAATAACGTCACTCAACGACGGATAAAGCGTACAGTACGTGAACGCCCAAAGAGAACGCTGCCGTCAAATCACTCTCCCTCCTTCCCAGCAAAACCTATTTTTAGGTTATGTCGAGTTTGCGCCGACCGTTTCGTGTGTGGATGTAAAATGTACATATTGAATAAATAATCTCAAAACGACGAAGAGAATTGACTTGAGAATACTATCAAACGTTTGCCAAACGTGTTTCGAAAAACGGCAGCACAATGTCATTGCGTTTACGTAAGATCTTACCTGCATTAATGACTTTTGTTACATTCCTGAATTTTGATAATTACGAATAATAGTTCGATAACATTGTAACGATGCGTTGTGCAATTGTAATCACTAGCAAATATGTTATTTTCCTAAAATCTCGGTTATATCTTCACATATTACTTATAAATAATTAATTTTATATATTTCATTATAACATTATAACAATAATGAGAAATCATAATAATTTGTTATTAGTCATACATAACAACTTTTTCGCTCATAATTTACTTGTGTAAGAAAACAAAGTGAAAATTATGTCAATTGCAGGTCCTGTTTTAAGAATATTACAGGGGACACACAATAAGCACTTCAGTACTGCAACCAAAGTGAAGGATGAGCAAGCAAGTCAATTATGCTCTTTCCGTACAATCGAAAACAATCCAACTCATCACAATATGAACTACATTGGTAAACTATACAAAGTGCCATTGGATATTCAGCAGCAATTGTTCCAAATTGGTGGTTTCCCTAAACAATTTGTGATACAAGCTAACACTTTTCAAGAGTACGCAATAATGGTTAGACAGCCAGCGGTTGAAATTATATCATATCTCACTCAGGCAGATTATACACGTCCGGTCAATAAATACGTGATATGTATCCTTTCTCGAAGATAAACTAGTAATATTTGTATAATATGGTAAAATTATGAAATGGTTCCATCTTTTTTGATTTTATCTTATCTTTTATAACACTTATAGTTTCTTGTGTTAAGTACATGTTAATATTATACTTTTGTTATTACATGTTAATATTATTTAGTTAGACGAGTTTATTATATGCGTAAACACGCATAAGAGGTTTCTTTTACATATATACCTGATATAAAGACCTTAATGATATGAAAAAGACGGGAAACATGGAACGGGAAAAAGCATCACACTGGCCCACATATTACACTACGCTTTTGTGCAAAAATATATAATCGTTCACTTAATGTGGGGTATGTTAAAGTTGAGTGCAAATGATATGTATATTCTATTAGCGCGTTTCATTTACTAAGTCATTGCCGTTGTTTAGGTTATCATTGGTTCCACAATATGAAGGAGGTTGCGAACTCGGTGTTGTCACCAGGTTGCATGGATCTGCCGATTGATGCTGGATTTTGGTTAAAACAGTTCAAAGTTCAGAATCTGAACCTGCTGACGCAATTGGACGTACGCGTATTTTGAGTTAAATCGCCGGCTACATTCGTTTGCACAATGTTTATATACATACGATCGCTTTGCAGCTCAGAACGTCGAAAGATTATACATGGAATCAGCATGAAATGACGTCGCAAGGAACGCCCATCCTGGGGATGATCGAGTTCGGCATGAGTCGCGTAAAGTACGCCTGTGGTGTGGTGGACGCGTTATTGAAGGAGTTGAAGCTCGCCAGTACTGCGGGAAAGTGCAAAACGTTGGTCGCGATTGACGGTTTCAACGCGTTCACATCGGAAGAAACTGACATTCGCGATGACAATAAAGTGTCGGTGCCGCCGAAAAAGGTTACCCTGGCGATACCATTCTTAGATATCACGAAGGGTGGTGACTGGTGCAACGGTGCGGTCGTACTAACGGTAGACAAGATAGCAACTTTTGTACGTATCTTAATCCATGCTATTATTTTTATTACGTGATTATACAGTTTTTTTTTTTCCTGAACATCACCAATTGTAAATTGAGTAGTTCAAAAATCTGTGTAAGCAGAAAACGTAGACGTAGTTCTGAAATATACAATTAATATAGAATTGAAGTGTCAGTGCGAGTTTAAAACGCAGATAACGTTGAGATATAACTTGGAAAAGATAGAATACAAATCGGGTTCGAAGACACATAAAGCTAAAGAAGATATTTTATAAATTAGAAGGAATTATTCATACATTTATGATGATAAATAGTACGTTGAAAACATATGTATTTATTACGTTTTGTTCTTGTCGCATATTCAAGGCAAAAACTAAAAGATCGTATTTAGTATTGAATGTGAACGCACAGTAACGCGAAGTGGAATCTTTGTTTTCAGACGAATGGTGAATCGCATCTTCCGAGATATCTGCTTGGCAAAGAGGGCTTCGAGCATTTAGATCCCTTCTTACCCGTCCAAGTCGATGAATACAATTCCGCGGAATTTGACTCCATGATAGAATATTACAAGGAACGCAAATGGATCAGGAGCATAACGCCCGAGGGTCAAAAGGAATTGGAACTAATCACTAATAAAAACCCCTTGACTTTAATGAAACAATGTAGTTTCTTGTAGAAAGAGAAAAAGAAAACTTGTATCATAAAGGTATTTGCAATAAAGCTTTCAGTTTTCTTCGAATATGCGCGTGAAATCGTGTGTAAAAAACCACGTTGCGCATCTCTGATCAAACTCGATTAAACACGATGGGATTTCGAGAAACTAGGGAAATATACTTCCATGTACATGTCATTTCTTTATTGACTTAAAATTTCACAAATGTAAAATATAACGTGCACATTGATATGCAAATCAACGTAATAAAATAATTCACCGATAATCCCTGATCTGAAAATAAAAATATCGACGCATATCTTTCTCTTTTTATGCGATTTTAATCACACACACACATATTATATTAAGAGGAGAGAGAGAAAAATATTCTTATGAACTAAATATTGCCGTATGTGTATATAAACTAAAATCAGCAATATAAAAGAAGAAAGTTCTGTTGGTAAAATTAACAGTAATCGTATTACCCACTACCGAAAACACCGACTACGTAGATTATATCTGGTTTACATTTCTTATCGAGTACGAACTACTCTCAAAGTGTACCGGTCGTTCTTTGATTTTCTAACGACGTACGGGCTGCAGAACGTCCAGTGCCTTGATGATATCACCGTCCTTGGAAACCAACAGTTGAGTCAGCCATCCACCCTGGTTGGTAAATCCCATCGACATCATGGCCTCCACCGCGTGTTGGATCTTGGGGTCTCGATGGTAGAATTCCTGTGCTGTTGGTAACGGGGGATAGATCGGCGCTGATTCCGCCTCGGGTTTTGCTGGAGGTGCGGACGGCGCGGACTGATGTAATAAATAATACAGATAAGTAAACAATGTAGAGCATTCAAAATAACGTAACAGCAAAAAAAAATTTCTTACTTCCGAGAGATGGACTTGAACTGTTACATCAAACTACTCAGTTACCTTTCCTTCTCAATCCAAGTTACATGTACTTAAAACATATGATTTACGATTATGCATTAAATTGAGACTTTCACATTTCCGGGACGCACCTGCTTAGGTACAGTTCCGTTCCCGTGGGAAGAAATGGAAGGTGCGCGGCTGATGTCGGGAGTCTCGTGTCCCACCACCGTCCACTCGGGCTCGTCGACCACTTGTTCACGGAAGCCAACTTTCTGGGTCACCTGAGGCGACGATGTCGTCGACGACGAGGACGACGAGGAGGATGACGATACGTCGTTGGTCGTTGCTGCGAGATTTTCCGTTTCCATCGGCGATGTCGCAGCCGCCTTCGCCGCGGTCATCGCGGACTCCGTCAGGTTGTCGTCGCGCAATTTCTTCCCCTCGCCGGGGAACTTTGCGGAGATGTCGGGTTGCGAGGGTGCGCCGGACTCGGTAGTTGGCGGAGTTGTGGTTTTCGCGGCGGGCTGCTTGCTGGTGGGATTCTCGTTGTCGGAGGTGACGACGATGTTGATGCCGAGCGGATCCAAGAACTGCGAGATGTGGGAGACGTTTTGCTCGAACAGCTTCAGCAGCTGAGTGAAACTGTTGGTCTGCTGCGTGTCTTCGGTCGCCTCGGTGGCGGCCTCGGTCGACGGCTCCCTCTGGTGCTCCTTAGACCGCTTCGGCTGCTCGTAACATGATTCTTCTGATGGAAGACACACGTTCTTTACGAAGTCCGCCAGCGAGTTTACGTATGTTGGATCAAAGTGAACTTTACCGCCTGTCACGTTTAACCCAGGACAGCCTCCGCCCCTCCTGCTGCTGCCGCTGCCACCGCCGGCCTTGAACGAGCATCGTCGCGTCTCATCGTCCTTATCGTTGTGCGACGTTGTGCCGCTGCTCGCCTTCTTCATGAACTTGCGCATGTGATGTGCCAGACGACGGCCGTGATAGCTGGACCACTCGACCGGCTCCGTCATACGTACCATGAAATGCTCGGGATGATAACCGATCGTCATGCAGCTGGTGCACAGGTCGTAATCTGGACATTGCATACACTTGAAGCGAAAGCCGCGTATGGTGTTCTCACACACGTCGCAAATAACACCGGGATGCAGCTTCTTATCGGTTCTCAGGTTCGGCATGTCTCCCTTCTCGCTTTGCAGGACAACATACAACTTGTTGACCATCTCATGTTTGTTCATTTCATCCAGCGCGATCTCCAGCTCCTCACTGGTCGATATCACGATAGTGTCCTCGTCATCTGATTACAAAAGGTAAATCATGTATAGTTGGCTTTATACGGATATCGTGTAATCGATTCTTATTTCTATCGCACGAAGAAAACATTCATTGCGAGATAAGAGACCGATGTCTCCTCTATGGTGTGATCAAGTCATGCTGCGGAGTGCCGTCTTGTAGGGATTTTGCGACATTACGCAATTCTGTCGAGCGACTCGCTAATTTGCTACTGAGATTTCAGTTGTGCGATTTTCTACCTTCCACAAATATCAAGTACTTATTCCCGGCTTTTGGTTATTCATTTTAATACATGTATTACAAAAATCTGCGACAAATAGGATAACACAGACGTACGGACACACTCTATATTGTACTAAAAAAAGGATCAATAAATTTAGAAATATACAGTATATATTCGTATTCATGCGAAGATATAATATAAGATCATGCAGGCAAGCGTGTGCATCATCAAAACCAAAGTGAGAAGAATGCTTCAACGTTTGAAGTGAGCTTTTTTGACTCGTTAACAAACTACATACTTCCGTATCCAATTTCGTGGATAATTCCTGCTCTTTAATTTTCCGATCCTTTTCTAAAATCATCACATATAAAGCGAGAGGCAAGAACAACTCTCATTGAGAGAAGCGTTTTTTTCCTCCAGCTACAGGTTTACAGAAGGGAACATCGGTAAACAATACGATATAAGTCATACGCACATTCCGTGGAAACTTTCACCATGCCGCTCGACGGTGTATTACGCAGTGAAAACGGCCGCGAAGGTCACAGATCGCATTTGTACGGCGTTACCGATCGCTTGTCGATAATTGCGCAATGAGACGTAATATTGCGAAATTATCGTTACAAAACGAGAGTACCGATCTCGGAGGAGGATTTGTATCGCATCGTACCGTGACGAAGGGGGGGGGGAGGAAGCAAGGTGGTCACACTTACCTTTCCAGGTAACAGTGAAATTCTTCTCGTGCAGCTCCGGGAAAATGGCCTGCAGCTTTTCCCGCAGGCATACGAAGTTCCTCGCGACACCGATGTCCAGGCAAAATCTACGCACTTCCTTGCGCTTGTTCAGCTCCTCGTTTAGGAGGTACACCTTGAAGCTCAGCTTGTTGTTCATCGTTGCGTCTTTCGTCGGATCGCAACGACTTTGTATTGCACGCACACACAGAAAAGGGAAAAGAAAATATGGCGCAGTATAAGCGTCTCGGATCGGCGATGTATTCGCTTCGAGTATCACTCGTGCTGTGTCGAGTATCGTCGGCTTTCACCGCCGACGCGCTACGGCTTATATACACGGTCGATAATCAACTGTCGGCCATCGCGCCTGCGCAGTCGCCGTGTTACTCAGTCATTTCCGGCTACTCGTCTATTTCGCGTTGTTTCGCGCTTCCGCGCCGTTTTTTCGCCGGTTTCGCTCGAATCGGACGCACGACGGAATCGGGATGCGTCGAAGGGAAAAGTCGCCGCGTCGATACGTCGCGAATTCGGCGCGCTACCGAGCTCCGTCCCCGAGGGAGATTCAAACGGAGGAAGTGGTGCGCGCGACGCCATTTTTGAGTGAGACGCCAATTTTGACAGGAGACAATCACGTGACGCGCGTATATACGATGACTCATTGCGAATGTCACGGAAGTGTATAACATCATCAGCTGCGACTGTTGCACGACACGATTACGTCATCGGTCGATTGGGCGATTTCTATGTTTTGCAAATAACTTCTGTTTACGCTAAATAGAATATCGGTGTGTTACCGAGGTTTTGCTTGACTGTGTTTTTGAGGACAGCTGTTGAAAAGCCGAACCGCGGAACATCGATGGATGAAAACGCGCGCCAGTCGTTCGAAAAAATAAGACGCATCGACGAGATGGTTCGGTGAAATTTGCCGGGTGTCCGGAGAAGACTCTTAAATTCATTTCAAGTAAAATGCAGACGGCAGATTTTTACCAGCGTTTTTCAACGTAGACTCGTGTGGATATATAAATATGTATTAAAAAATACGATCGTCTCCCTGTGATTTTTATTCATTATTTTGACTTTTAAAGAAATCTTGAACGCAAAGAAAAGAGATTGTTCATTGTATCGACACACTTATATCGATATATTTCATCTCTTTGATCCTTCGGTGCTCGATGTTTGACGCAGCTATTGAGACTTTGACTAAAGGGATTACATCGTTAAAATGAACGTTCATTAAAAAAATAAGGAACGTTAGAAAGATACGCGACATATGCATCAGCGGCGACGAGTGTATCGAAGGCTTCGCGGAAGCAATCCAGAGCAATCCAGAAGTATCGAGTAAGACATAACAGTCTAGAAGCGTCTAGAAAGTAACAGGGAAAGGTGCGCGCGTTCAGTCGCAGCTTTGCGGAGTCGTGACGTCACGTGATGAGAGTCATGTTCCAATTCGGCTCGTACATTTGCGCACGACGAAACGCCGTGTTTGCCCGCACTTTCGCGCACTTGCATTATTACATGTGTAATAATAAAGCGACGATAACAACAGAGACAACTGCGTTGTGTCTTCATTGTCAAATGAAAAATTGGCCTCCAACAAAATGCGTCGCAACTTTGAGGGATTTCCATTTGACGCAATTTCCGAACTTTTCGCGAATTTTTCACGTTGAATTTCACAGCAAATAATCAATACATCGTTGTAATTAATTCATCGTGAAGATTATTGAGACGATAAAATACGAAATTATATATCAGCGATTAAATGTAGTTTTTCATCGTGATGTTGGTGTATGGGATGAATTTCGATCGCTTGATTAATTCCGGTTTTAAATGAGATTGCAAATTTAAGGCGGCAGGAGAACATTAAAGTCAGTGGGATGTCGTGTAATGCTAAAAATTTTAGCGATAGCTAACTCGTTCGTTCTTTTTTTTAACACCGCTCATAAATGAGCAAACTCATCATGCATATTCTCTAGAAATCAACGAAGTTCCAGAACCGACTCGATCATTCCGCATGGTTATCGCTGAGTATGATCATTACGGCGCAAATTTGATCGTGCCGTTGAGGGTCATTCGATCACACACAGGACGATGAGTCATCTTATCTGTAAAAATTTATATATCGTTACATTGTTCTAAGAAATATATATCATACAGATATATATATATGTATAAAAGCACAAATAACGTATTCGATTGTTAAACTATCAAACACGATAATACGATATTCTAAAACGCATACGATACGCCCAAGATGATAAATAACTTAAAAATACTTAAATATATCGCTCATTCGCGCACACATACGATATCGTCATCTTTATTTTTGCTTTTCTAAAACATAGAGGCGCGTTACACGCGCGTTATTGAGCATAGTAGGATTAAAAACGTGACTCAGTTTAATAATCTTCTAATTTGATTGTTCACACGACTCAAACGATAACAGTTGCATGAAAGCAAGTCACAGCGCATAGTCAATCAGCATCGCGGGAAGGAGACGTCAGAGCTTCGATACGTTCTTCTATACGATGTTTTGATACATTCGAGATTTAGACAATGCGCCTTTCTCAAAAGAGGATAATTAATTGAACCCAATGCAAAATGAATAGCCAAAATATGTAAATACCCAGGTAGCAAGGTGACGTCAGATGGCGTCTCTAATGCCAGTAAGACATCACTGAAACGTCACTCGACGTTACCTTGCTACTTACAAAATTTTTAAGTCTGCTACTTAATATCGAAACTGTAATTTATCTGTTTTAATTAATTTTGCAGTCTCCTTAGTCATAAAATTATTCCTTCGTAATTCATAAATTGTGCAAATATATGCGTTACTTCGCTTTGCATTCTCGAGAAGAAAAATATTCATTTTATGGCTTTTGCACGATAAAAAGGTGAAAAGGTGCGTTATTGTGTTGCTTGTCAATCAACACTTTAATAACACAGCAACATTCGATAACGTCAATTCTGATAGATAAACTCTGCTTAACAGATGGGATCTTCTAATCGTTTCTTATCGTAATTTTCTAATGGAACTGATATCGGTCCGTATGTTACGCCTAAATGTTTACCTGACGCGACATTACAAATTGAAATGCACTTTCCTCACGGACACGTCAGGGTTGGCCACTGACGTCGGCATGCCACGAGAGATTCTGAGACTCATTGACTGACATTGCGAGCGAGATCGACGATTGCAATCCGCGCAAAAACGGAGATCCAGTTTTGCGCTTGCATTTGTAATCCGCGTGTCGTGTCACGTGCGTGACTCGCATCGGAATCCAATCCGGGAATCGAGTGTATTTGGTTCAATGTCTCGAAACTCGTTAGTCGCATACGATGCTCTTGCTAATTACTCGATAAAAATGTTTCATCCGTCGTGAAATGTCGTGAATACTTTATATCGCGTTGTTCTCCATCTCTCTTCCCGCAAGATGCATTTATTTCCGCATCTCACGATTTATTATCTCCTTTCACGCTGATATTCCCGAAGAACTACTCGAGTATCAAATCAGGAAATTTCCAACTTAAAGTTTATCACTTAGAAGAAACAGTTACCGGAAAGAGGGAGGGGAGGACGTCGCATTTGACGCGCAGTATTTTTCTCTGCATTTCTCTTCCGCTATCTCACGCAATTACATTATATCGGACGTGTCCAATATGCATATACGTCCCTGCATTCACCCCGCATTATTGTGACAGAGAAGAAATGCACGTTTGCTCCGCTTGAAATTCTAACCGTTTAGTCGGTCTCTCCGACCTACCGCGTTATAACACTCGCGTTGCTTCCGTCCGAGAGGCGCGCGACGAAATGAAATTATCCCTCTACCTGGCGTGCCTTATGCTATTGTTCGTTTTCGTAAGCTCGGAGTTGCATTTCAACGTGAGCGCCTTCGTCGAAGTGATACTGCACTTGCGGAAATTTTATTCAGTGGCGACCGTCATGTTCGCTCATCCCGGCGACGCGTACGGCGACTACGGAGGTCAGTCCGAAAGAAATTCCGAGCGGCTTTGCGGAATTTTCGCGAAAACAGACCGTTCGTGCCACGAGATGTGTTTCGCAAATGCCAATGTAATTAAATAAATTAATCGTCGGCGTTTGTTATTCCCGCGCTATTTCCGATGTCCTCTTCGAGGAGAACATCTTTCGATAGGCTTCTCTAAAATTTGACGGAATTAAAAAGAGCGAATTAGCATTACACGTGCATGAAAATATTTCAAATTCGCTTGGAGAATTTTATCTTCTTATTCTTCTTCGAATATAAATTAAAATATTCTTTAATATAATAAATATAAATATTTTTATATATAAATTAAGATATTGAATATTCGACACTGCCTCAGAAAGGACGATCAGGTTGAATTCATGAAAGTATCTCTCGCCGCAGATCTGCGAATCACACACTTGGTGCACACATGCGCCATTATGCTGGGCCGGCACTACGTAGTTACGTTCGACGTCCACTTCAGGAAGTTACGAAGGTCGCTCCGATATTATCGCAAAATAGTGCAACCCCTTGCCATTGTTATCATGCCGGATTACGGCGCGTTTCTCGAGTTCGCGGAGGCCACCAAGAACTACAAAATGTCTTTCCCGGTGTGGTTCCTGCTGTTCCTCTACACACCCGACAACAGCACCCACGATTACTGCCACGATCCGATCGGTAATCCCTTGAATCTGGCCTTCGACACGCAAATGTTGGTCCTCTGCGCCGACGACGACGAGATCCTGCGGGAGTGGTACTCGGTCAAGGGCGAGACTACCAAGGTCTTCGATCTGGCGAAGTGGACGGACAACAATGGATTCATTCTCCTAACGAAACTGTCTCTCTACGATCGGAAGAAGGATATGGAAGGGGTTGTCCTGCGAGCTGTCACTGTTAAGGTACTCGATCAGATTTAAGGCGCACTATTGCAACGTGTTTACCGATAATTATTTATGCGATGTTTTATAATTGGCTTTTCTAAAATAGCAAAAGTAAGATTTATAATTCACACATTTCTTGCGCACAGTTCAACGCTGAGTATCGATGAACTCATTTATTTTCCGTCTTCTCTATCTCGACATTCAGGACACGTCTGTTTCGCCGAAATATACCGAAAGTTACGTGGGCGGATTGTATGGAAAAGTGCTGGACGAACTCACGTGTTCTCTTAACTTTACGTTGGACGTCGTGTCGGAAGTGAACCAACACGGTCTGTGGAATAAGAAAAATAAAACGTGGTCCGGGGTGATGGGTGAGATCGTGTCGGGTCGAGCGGACTTCGCTATCGCTGATATGTCGATGACGAGCCTCAGAGTACGCTACGTCGATTTTACTCTACCCCTGATAATATCCAGAAACGATCTGTACGTCAAGGAGCCAGGGATTTGCGGCGTCAAATGGCAAGGTTACTTTCAGGTAATCGGGATGAAAAAAAACAAATTACATAAAATCGCTGTAATCGCTTTATTTTCTCTTTATATTGCCGCTATTCCAAAAACGATGTTCGTACAGCTACGCCATTTCTCTCCCTCGAGAGACAACCTTCTTTACTTTTATAATTACTTACATCACTTGAAATTATCGGATCATTTTATACGCGGGCAAAAACAGATGAAATAACGAAAAATCCCTTCGCAGTAAATAATAATTCGTCTCATAACTTGAATATCTCCGCTTCGTTTTGGAAGAGTTTTTCAAACGATGATTACAATTTCGAGCCAATAATTTCGTAACTTGCAACTACATTTGCAACAGGCCTTCCATTCACGCACTTGGGTCGCGACCCTCGTGCTAATAGCGATTACGCCGCTTCTGCTGTGCTTGATGAAGATATGCCGCGGATCTCGAAACATTGCGGATCTGATTTCTGACAATTTTATTTACATCTGGGGTATCTTCTGCCAGCAAGCGCTTACAGGTTGGTATTTTATTGCTGTGAAATACACAAAACACATACTTACATAAACTAACATGAAATCTACTTCCGGATATAAAAATTGAATCGAATCATTCCGAGTAATACAAGAATTACATGACATTCGAGAGTTGATTTTTCTTCTTTCTCCAAATTGTGAAAATAGAAATAAACACCCAAATAAATACATAGAATGTAATTCCTTCGTCAGAATTCCCGAGCCCGTCGTCGCTACGCATCGCATACTTCACGATATTTTGCACGGCGATACTGATATCGGCTTATTACTCGGCGGCATTGGTATGCTTTCTCACTGCGTGCGTCCGAGTTCTACCTTTCCGCACGATAGATGAATTCGTCAACGACGGCACTTACAGACTAATAGTTCCGCGCGGCAGCGCCGACTACGATATATTCGTCGTAAGTGAATTTTGCCATCGAGGAATTCCGACCTTTCACTCTTGTCCGCACACAAGTGATCGGTTTTATTACACGTCCGATTGTTCCCTACGATGAGTTCAGTCGTTGTTTAACCCTTATCGCGTTTTAATCGACGCGAATATTCCACAATTTACGATTTAGTCAACACGTTACGTCCCTGCAACATCTTTTTAGGCGACGAACGAATCTTTCTCCTTGAAGCTGATGAAGATGATGAAAGAGGAATCGGAACTGCCGATGACCCTAATCGATGGCTTCATGCAAGTACGATTAACAGATTTTCTTATCTAATAGCGTCGAGATAAAATCATACAATAACTCTACGGAGATTCATGAAAGAGACATCCCGAGACATTCTGAAAGATCGTTCGCACGCTTCATTGTCATTGTTCCATTGCTTGTTCAGGTATGTCAAGATAAAAGGCTCGCTTATCTCGCGTTGAACGCTTTGAAGAAGAGCGTGCAAGTGAGGATCCCGTGCAAGTTGTCCTCCATCCGCACCGAGAGAATCGACAACCTAGGTATGATTCTGTCCAAAGGTAATCCGTACACCGGCGTGATAAACTATCAGTGAGTATCACGAGAGAGATATCTAATGTATATTTTTGCACGCTTTATATATCTTTCATAATTCGTAATTACTTATCGCGAGCGTGTGATAGAAACAGAAGCGCGAAATTAGGAGAAATCGATATACTCGTATCAAGTGCATGGATCTACGTATGATCTATATATGTAAATATAAACTGAGTCACTACTGGGGTCAGCGTCCGAGTCGAACGTCGATGATAGCGCGTGATATAAAATCTAATTAGGGTAGGAAAATAATAACGGTTTCGGTGAATTATCAAATTCGATGACGGAAACGTTGCGTGTGTTTCAGTCTGCAGAAATTTCTGGATAACGGTATGATGATGCGTCTGAGGGATACGCGATTCTTGATGGAATCGGCCGAAAATAAGGATTACCAACCGGTCCGTTTGACCAACGTCATCCCGATCTTGTCGCTACTCTCCTTAGGTATTATTTCAAGTGTCGTGATACTGATTATAGAGAATGTTTATTACCAATTCAAGAGGGAGAGAGAAAAAAGGCGGCGCCACTTGAGAGCTTTACGTCGTTCGAGAAAACTGCTGTTTATCGCAAAATGAAACGATGACGATGCGAACATCGAAAACTAATGATTTCACTCGAAATTCATTTCTCCGTATTCGACGTAAAAATACACCGTTCCCTCACGTCTATATGCGTGTTTGTGTGTGTTTGTTTAAATTTACAACGCGCAATCAAACAATACCGAAGAAATATTCAAGTATTTCTTCTTATTAATCACTGTGTGTAATGCAAATCACTGTGTGTCGTGTCTCTATAATCTATTAATCCGAATACACTGCAATGTATTAATATACAAATAAAAAGTGTAGAATAAAATAAAACTAATATCTCAATTACTCATTTCGCAAACGTCGATCGTTCTTGACAAATATATATTTCTAGCTCCAACGTTTCCATGTTGAAACTCGCGCAATTAGTCCCTCGCACGATGTATAATATCACGACTCCCGATGACGTCGTGAAAGCTATCGGCATATCCGACTTATCGATACCGAGAAGCCTTCCCCGTTGATTTCCGCACTTTGTGCCCCCTTTTACGAGGCGCCCGAGCCTAAATTTACGCTGATCCTTATGCGTGCGAGCTGTAAAGCTATCACACACGGTCATCATGTCCGAAATAACAACCCTCGTCGGTAATGACCGGCTGCGTAATGCTCGTTGCGGCGGGCACGACGATGCAAAGGTAACTCACCGTTTTGTCGTATCTCGGTGTAATTTGTGAGTAACGCAGTCGCGACCGCGCGACGGTAATGCGCGAGGACATGCATTACGGTGTGTTGACGGTGTCCACCACACTTAGATCGGTAATTCCGATAAATTCAAACGTCGCCTGGACGATCGCCTTCCAGTCGCGCATCCACACTCTCGAATCGCGGATCCTTTACTTCGCTGTTTTATTTAACAACGACCGCCACGTTTTCAAAGGAGTATTCCGTATCGCGGATGCACAATGCTTAGCGTCGCAGCACGATCGTATATTCACGCCTGAGGAGTAATTTTTTATAATTTATCAGGAAAAACAATATTTCCGCTCATTGAATTGTCCTTCGAAGAGGGCCAGCCGGAGGCGGAATAATTTCAAGGTTTTCGATTCGGTCGACAGAAAAGTCGCTCGAATTTGACTCGTTGAAGTGCGGAGAGAACTTGTTTCTTTTTTTTCTTCTGACGTGATTCGTCCGACTCTTCGACAGCGAAATTTGCGAAATTTGCTTCAAGTTTGCATCTCGAGAGATGAGGTGTCCAACGATGCGGCCGATGGCGGCGTTCCTCTTCGCGTTGATCGTCGAGGCGCTGACAGAGCGGATAAGGGTTAATGATTATCTTCCGCTGATCACCGATGTTCACGAATATTACCGTACATCGTGCGTTATTTTCGTCCATCACGGCAATTACCAAGGTAAGTATCGGAAAACAGGTTTCCGCTGTTTCGCATCCTCAGCCGCGGAGCGAAACAATCCTTCGGAGTTTCATCCTTCGGATAGATCTCGAACGTCCGAATTCCTCGTACAGATACAAAAAGCATCCTTTGACAAGATGTTAAGGATCTTCTGGCGAGTCGTATGTATTCCGAAAGTATACAGTAAAATAACGGGAATGTGACATTTTCGGCGGAAACGCTGTAAAATAATCCACATTGACCGCGAAATATCGATTATAGAAAGATTTCATCAGGAAAAAAAAGAAACGTTATTGTTATAACGATCCAATTGTTAAGCGTGTCAAGCGATTTGTAATCAATACTCAATCAATATCAGGATGAGAGAAAGCGTCGTCGAGCGAGCGTCGAGTGTTTACACGACAATTACGTGACACAGATCTGAATGTAACGACGATGATACACACGTGGACGCGCGAGTTTACGCGGCAGCGAGTCATGACCGTGACGGTAACTTTCCTGAACCTGGTGAGCGAGTACAACGAGTACCGGAAGACCGTGCGACCGTTGTTAGTCATTCTTCTGGACACCGAGGAGAGTATCGACGAGTTTGCCAGAGCCACGAGAAGCGTAGAGTCCATATCCTTCCCCATCTGGCTCGTCCTGTTCCTCCAGCTTCCCGGGCACTCCCTCGAGGCGCACTGCAGACGCCCTACCGGCAACATATTCAACGTGAACTTCAACACCATGATGTTGGTCCTCTGCTACGACCGATCGATCTTGACCGAGTGGTATGCCGTGAACGATAATCGCACCAGGACTCTCGAGTTCGCCACATGGAGTCCCGATAGAGGTCTAATTTTAACGGCAAGACGGAAGAGCTTCTACGCCAGGAGGGGCGATCTCTTCGGCGAAGTCATGCGCGTGGCGTCCGTATACGTAAGCTGTACTTTCTTCCCTCCCGAGTTTGCCGCGAAATTGTTTAAATATTGCAAATTTAAACAATCCAAGATCGCTTGGGAACGACCTGTCGATTTGCCGATGAATGAAATAAATCAACGTTCGAAGGAATCGCCGTTCATCTCGCTGGAAAACGGCACGGTCGTCGGCTTCCTCGGCGCTTTGCTGTTGGAGCTCGGCAAAGCGATGAACTTCAAGATGCAGCTTTTGGACCAGATGAAAGGATACGGCAGCTGGGATCAGGAAAAGGGGTCGTGGACCGGCGTGATCGGTCAACTGGTGGCCGATCAAGCCGACATCGGCGTTGGCGAATTCTCGATGACGCCCGACAGGCTGAGCATCGTGGACTTCACACTGCCGCTGATGCACTCGCGAAATCGCCTCTACGTGAAACAGCCCGACGGTTCCGACGTTTCTTGGTTCGGATACCTGAAGGTAACCATTATCATTTGCATTCTGATAATTGCCCCGAAAGGTGAAAAGAGTGGTAGGATAATTAAGAATGTCAAGTTCGCTTGGGAATGAACGCCGATGAAATTCACGACTAAGCGGAACTGCATGTCCTTGTAAGAAATAATTTTCCCCAGGCATTCGATTTCAATATTTGGGCGGTGATATTGACTATAATCGTGTGTACTCCTGTTCTGTTGGCCATTATAAAGAGAAGATGCGTCTCGCTGAGTCTGATAATGGAGAACTACATGCTCGTCTGGGGCATTTTTTGCAAGCAAGGTCTGCCGGGTAATATACTTATTTTTAATATACTTACTTCAGTGTACTATTTAATATAAAATATGCATGCGTAATGCAATGTTTATCTCCATACGGTGGTTTGGAAATAACGTGAATTTTTCTTCGCAGAACCTCCCAGCGAGTTGCCGATGAGGCTGGCTTTCCTTTCGATTTTTGTCTCGTCGTTAATAATTGAGGCCGCCTATTCCGCTTCGTTGATCAGCTTTCTGACGCTCCCCATGGCCAGTCTGCCTTTCTCCACCATGGAGGGTTTCGTCGCGGACGGCTCTTACAAATTAGTTGTTCTCAAGAACAGCGCCGATTATGACATGTTTAACGTGAGTCCGTTTATTGCTGTCTATCGTTACGCGAAAAAGTAGAAATTGACGCTTGCGTAACGGCGATTACACCGACCGCGGAGATTACGAAAATTGCATTCTCTTGATGATTTAAACATAAACTTAACAATATCTCTTTTCCTCTCTCGCGCGAAAGTACGGAAGAAACATTAGGAGGTCGAATTAATTATGAAATTTAATTGCGCAGCGTCGATCCTCGAAGAATACGCGTGTCGAATTAAGATCGTTCATTTTATTTATTGATTAAGAATTATTACACTATATTACATTATATTCTTATATCAAAGATTATTTTATTTTTTTATTTACTTAGGGATTATTTATTGATTATAGCACGCCAAGAATCCCATCTTGCAGAAGGTGAGCGCGTTGATGAAGGAGAAGAATCTGCTACCGCTCGTAGAAGCGGACGGATTCAAGCAGGTCAGCTCTAATTTCGCTTAATAGGACGGATTAGTCGCAATCTCTTCGAATCTATTCACACGCAAGTTTCTCTCGCGTCTCAGGTCTGCGAGAAGAAGAACGTGGCGTTTTACACGACGGAGATGATGGCGAACGCCGTGGAACTGCAGTGTAAGACCGTGTTCATAGAAACTGGTAAGGCCGACAGCATGGGGATAGTTTTGCGGAAGGAGAGTCCTTACACCGGCATCATGAATTATCAGTGAGTTTGTGAAATGAGTACAGTTGTTGATTTGCAACTAAGCACGTCCTGTTATCGAACGTACGCATCATCGGAGGTCTCTTTTTTCTCCTCGCTCTACCGAATTACGTGTTTCAGCATACGACGATTTATGAACAACGGTGTTATGAACAGATTGAAAGAGAAGTATCTGTCGACGAGCAATCTACCGGAGGTCCAACACATCGAAGTCGGCTTGCAGGGCGTAGCGCCGATTCTGGCGGTGATGGCAACCGGTGTCGTCCTGGGAGTATTTATTCTGATGCTCGAGAAAGCGTATTACGTTTTCAAGATTAGGTGCAAGAACGGCCTCGCTAAAAACCCGAGCGATAAAGCTGGGGTGAAACTATGAGGAAGAAGCGGCCGGAGAAACTTCAAACTTCAACCATTTTACAGAATGAACTGCGAAGGACCGATCGGTTACGTCGGTCGACACAAAAATTGTGTGCTGGATCTCAACCGTCAGTTTTAGTTAATTTTGTGTCGATTACAGATAATTCAAGTCAAAACTTAACTCTAATGTTTCATTGTGTGGTAAACGACGATCGAAAGGAAATTTGACATTCGAAGCTTTCGAGCGATGTCCGAGGAGAAACATTCACATCCCAGTTCAATTATTCCGTTATCTTCACTCGAGTTTACTCCTCGCAACTGTGCCTCCACATCCGTTTGTCTCCCGAAATACATCGCTTTCTTGTCGAAGCGCACAAGAGCCAAGTGCAACGCGGCGTGCACAATGCGCGTGTTTAAGAATGAACTAAATTTAAATCCCCCGACCAGAATCGCGACTCGGGCCCGCGTATGAACCAGCCGCCGTTAATCCCCCATGGCTCACGTCGTGCATTTTCTCCTTTCTTTCCCGTGTCTTCTCGCGCGTGAGTAACGATAATGCGGGCGCATTCTCGGTAACTAGTAATGCATGCGGTTTTTTCATTCTCCGTTTCGCGAAATCGCTTTCACCGCAGCAGCACGTCGTCGTCGCCGCAATTGCGGCGAGGAAAATCGCCCCGAGGAAAAATCCAGCGTTACCAGCCGAGCTGGCGCGAATACGAGAGAGATTCGATTCACCTGGAGAGACATGTTTCGCGGAGCTCGTCATCCGGAGGACGTCACTCGAGGAGGAGCACGCAGGACCCTCGTAAGCGCGTTGCGAAAAGGCGATTTGCATGCAGAGGGAGGCAGGGCGGATTGCACAATGCTGATTACGCTTCTGGTTAAGACATGCCGCCGTTGAAGACACACGTCGACGATTCACGAGAGAGAGAGAGAGAGAAAAGGACAACGAAATAATAAAATACAGTCAAAAGAGGCGTGTGACCCGCGACCTTTGGCGAAATTCGCCCACGCCGGATCTTGCCCACGCGAGTGCAACGCCGCGAGGTACGCCCGGTACGACGGTTGATTTACAAGAACGTAAACGCCCTCCTGATTTCATGTACGCGTCACTACCTCGTCAAACAGCGGCGCGTGCGCGAGCTTCGAATGTGTTACCTTACCCGTGAGACCGCGTAGGAGTGCTTTCGCGGTCGTGAAACACGGTCGTCCCGAAAATTCGATGAGATTCCGCGGTTGCACAAAAGGGCAACGGCCGGTCCGACGGCTCGCCGAGCGAGCGAACCTCTCGCGATCCGCACGCGTGCAGGATCTCGGAAATCAAAGAAATCTCGTTTCTATCCTTTTCCTCTCAACTGTAGGCCCCGGGAGTCCAATAAGACGGTCTCCCGACGCCATTCGTCGACGTAGTTGCAAATATTTTAGCTATTTAATTAGATAAGTGGAATTTAAATAATACGGTAGAATTAAAATATTAAATATTAAAAAAAACCTCGTTTCAAGATCGCCGGTTCCGTCGGCGAGTTTCGTCTCATCACGTCACGTTACGAGTGACATTCACTCGCTCACGCTCCGAAATCGTCACCTGACCGAGCAACGAACGACTTCTCCGCCGTTAGCAACTGCGAACGATCGTTTCACCCTCGGGATTGTCGTCCCGATCGGAATTGCAAGCGGAAGCCGGCGAAGTCCAAGAGTTTCGTCCCTTGCAGTTTCCTGCACTCCGACGCGCATTCAAGCGGCATAGCCGGCGGCGGGCTTACCGGATGCGCGCGAGCACGCGCTCTGTGTTTCCGCTTTCTGTTTGACCGGAAGTGACCTCTGCCTCATTAGAAAAAACTCGCACGCGCGCATCAAACTCCCCTTCCCCGACGGAGGCCGGCGGCCTGCGTTGAATATACGCGCGCGGGGGAGACGCGCCTTTACCGTTGCGCCGAAGATCGCAACGATAACGTTGATTATCAATTACGGGGGGATACGAGCGCGCGCGAGTCCCAGTCTCATCGGTGAGAAATTCAAGCCGAGCGGCACGCGATGGTCACGCGAGGCTGCGGGGAGCGGGCTCGCGGGGCCACCTTCTTCTATCAAGCGGGATCACCTTGAGTCCGTTAGGCGCGGCGGATGCAACTACACGCTCCGGACGAGGCGCTAAGTGTCGGATTTTTGCCTCTCCCGGAGATTTCTTCAGAGCATTAATTGTCCATATATCCAGCAATTAGCAATTAATAATGCTCTTAACGAATTTTTCCGCTGTCCAAACCAATTTTTTTGCTGTCTAAATAAATGTTTTCCTTCTGTCGACCATCATATCGACAAACATTTGCTATTGCCGGCAAAATTGGTTTTCTCCGTGGACAGAGGGATTCGATTAATCGTCCGTTTGTCCGCTGCGTTTCCGAAAACTCTCGATAATGGAGAAACGATAGGTGTCTCAGATTCTGTAGATGACGCGACGAGACTGAACGATACGTCTTCGATACGGCCTCGAAATGCATTCGTGGCTGTCCATCGTCGCCGTGGCAATCGACAACTGCCGTTCCAGGAGAAAAACAAGAGTCCCCCTTCCAGAGAGACAGACGGACGGACGGACGCACGTGGTAGTCATTGTTGGCGCGTTGTGTCATCTTTGGGCTTGTCTAGAATGTCATTATATCGCGCCGCACGCGCGCAACACGAGAGTTTCTGCAGCCGATCGTAATAATAATAACAATAATCACGAACCAGGAAACAATAACGCGCGTCGCTGGTAACGACGATTGTTGTACGGGGAACAATGAGGACGATAATGCCGAGATGACGGACGAGGAGCCGAGAAATGAACTCGTAAGTGGCGTGCAGCGGCAGGTTTCGGGATCATTTGGTTTTTTTGGAAGATTTCCTATTATTTAGAAAAATAAAGATAATGAGAAATTGCGTCGTTATTAGAACGTAATATGGTTTCTATAAATAAATTAATTCGTGATACATTGGAATTGAAAATAATTACTCGCGATATGATATAGCCGAAAATGTTGTATTTATCCGGGTTGAGTGGGTTGAGTGGGGATTCTCGTTAAATTTTTAAAAAATATTTTATCACCCTGACTTCTTGTATAATTTCGTCTCTGCCTACTTCATATCCTTTACAATTTCTTCATATTGACGACTCCCATGGTTTTTATACGTCCCGTGGCTCACGAAAAATATGATAATATTATTACACGACGGATTAGGGGCATTCATTGTAAAATCAATTATTTTAATGGTATTTACACGAGGATGAAGAAAACAGCCATTATCATGCAGAGTGACGTGACAGAGTGGGAAGATCAAAAGATCTGCTTCGGTAAGTCCGCCATTGCGCCCCCTCTTCGGCTACCGCGAAGCTCATTAACGTGTTCGAGAGCGTAGGAAGGTGTTAGCTTCGTGCCGGATCATTTGTTCTTATGAGACACCGCCGGCCGATAGTTTTTAGAGGAAGTGGCAACAATTAACCGCTGTACCGGTGAAAATTATGAGCTCGATAAAAACGTGGGTGCGTCGTTCTCGATACCGAGATCGTCGCGTCGGGTATTACCTAACCGTTCTATTATTAGATATCAAGGCGTCTAATAATCAAATTATCAGAGCCTGTCATAGATGAATTATTGCACACACACACACACACACACACACATACACACTGACTTCGTTCATCAGCCTCAAGCCAAATAGTTTAATTAGTAGAACGTAGCTAATTGGCGCAATGTATGCTACTACGAAATGAAAGGAACAATTCATTGAATTTTAGAACATGCTGGAAAGGAGAATCATGTGTGTGTTCGTCTATTATTAATTATAAAATATTGGCGATCTTCCACACGCAGAAAAACATATATACTGCATTCAAATAAATATTATTTGTAACAAGTTTATGTATCCGCAAATATATCTTATAAGTTCGTCATAAGTTCATCATGAAATTTATTCAAAATATATTCTGAATTCTAGTAAGTTTTAATACTTCAATCGAGAGTAAATTTTTTGCATTTTTGTGATGAGTATATTTTAATATTATTATAAGGAAAATGTATTATTTGTTCAAGCTAATGATTATTTTAAAAGAAGAAAAATAAATTGCTTTTCCTTGCGGTGCGATAATATTTTTCTCTGTGTAGGTCACGAAAGTGAAGTGCTACCCGGCTAAAACTTACAAGAGAAAGAGAAAGAGGAAACGACCGCCCACTCGTCACGCAGCATGCATGACATTACGTAAATGATGGCATTCTCATTGATCTGAAATCGAAGTTTAGAAGCCGGACTCTCCGAGTCAGAGCCATCGTTTGTGTCACAAGCGACAACGTCAACACATCGTTTATTCAGCATCAAAACTGAAAGTAGTGCCGCGACAACGTCGTGACACAAGTGCCATTGCGAAACGGTCGGTCGTAAAAGTACTTAATTGCCGTAGCACATTTTTTGCCCAAAATAGACGGCAGTCGGGGTCTGCGTTCAACAAGGCCCCGCTTATCTGGAGGAACCAGTACGTACGATTTCTCTCTTTCCATCGCGCTTTGCGTTTCCAATTTCCAATTCCTGTTTTTACGCCCATTAAATTTCAAGTTTCTTATCTCGAAATTAATTAGCGACAACTCGCGGTCTCTTTTGGCAATTTTTTCTTCCTAGCTCTGTTATTCCTGGATTTTGTTTTGGGATAGAAGAAATCTGTACAAATCTCCGTTTATCATTCCTCTCTCTCTCTCTCTCTCTCTCCCGCCAACGTCGGGACGGCGACCCACGTATGGTCGCGTGGGTGTGGGTCGCGCTGGTACACGTACGCAGTGGGGAGTTGTGTGGTACGGAAACCCCACCGCCGCGCTGGAATGGAATGGAAAGGAAAAGAGTAGTGTACCTATACAGAGCCTGCCGTAGACGCGATTATGTTTCGTGTCTGGAGAACTCATTCAGTGCTTCTCACGGCACGGGGGCACATGGCCGTCGCAGTCGTCGTCGTCCCCGCGAGTGGCACGCACATGGTGGTGCGCCAAAGTGGAGCGAAGATAAGCCGAGGAAGTCGAGGAAGGATGCAGTGAAGGAAGATAAAAGCGGACATAGTGAGAGAGCAATCACAAGTACGGACGATAATAATAGAATTTCCTCCCGTTTTTTCAAGCACACCGGACACGTTAAAAGCGTCAAAGATAGACTTTGCAAATACATCACGGAGAAATACACATTTTTTTTTTAATGTACTCTTACATATCTATCAAAATACACGAATGTGATAACGTTTATAAAAATAATGATACTTGTAAGAGGACAATTCGTAAAGGGACAAAAATATTTCCGTAATTTTCAGGCGTGTAATTAAATAAATAATAATAAAATAAAGAAAGAAAGAAAAGTAAAACAATATTCTAGAGGGATCTCGCTGAATTCACGTTCCACTTCGCACCTTCGATTTGAAAGTCCCGCGCAAAAAAAAAAGGTACGCACATTGGGGAAGGTCGGAGGACGGACCGGGGGTGCTACGTGGAGGAAACTGTGTGGCTGAAATAGCGGCGAGGGTCATCGCGACAGGCAGGTACGCAGGTACTTTCGTGAAGTGATTCGGCGCGTGTCCGGCGGCGTGATGTGAAAAGTTCCGTGCCAATTATGATAGAGTGCGATGCCGTGAACGTTCTTGTCGATAAAGTTTCCGCGCCCAAGTTCCGTGCCGAACAGAGAGGGGTGTGCGAGGTCGATTCGCGCTCTCCTCCCTGAGCCATCGGCAGAATTCTCTCGAATGAGTGCCACCACATCGAACGCAGGTATCTGACGTAGAAGACGAGAGGCATAGAATAGACGCTGAATGTGGTGGAGCAACCCGAGCAAGGCTGGGCTGAAAAATCGCTGACTTACGACCTCAGGATTCCGCGCCGCCGAAACGGCGCAACTCGACTGTCACGAAGGTAATGCCGACTAATTAGCGGCTTAACGTTAATTAGGAGTGATTCGTAACGTTGCCTCGTAGGGGGGAGAGCATTATTGACATTCGTAATTTGCGTTGGCGCAGCAATACGAAAATAGAATCGGCCGATAATTGAGAGAGACGGAAAAAAAAGAGAGAGAGAGTAAACTCGACGTCTATTTTAACCCATTCGAATTCTTACCGAGGATGAATGAGATCGGACGATGAATCAAACGGAATTCGATTGAATAACTCTCGCGTGCGGGGAAAGTGTACCGGCAATTAGGTGCAACAAGAACCGTTTCTTCGGTAATCGGAGGATCGCCGGTAGAGAAAGAGTCGAAATCAGCGAGGCGAAATTTTTCTTCCGCGAGACCGCTGCATCCCCGTCGGTTTCGTCTGCGAATCGTCGACCGTCCGCCGCGACGTAACAAGTCCGACCGTTAAGTTTACCCCCATTGTAGACGATTATACATATTCTATTGAGGACGAGATGATCGTATACGGGCGAGGTGAAGAAAAAGCGGGGGACTTGTAAATAAGCCGTTCTTACTCTCACGGAAGTGAAGGATCCGGTGGGTTTCCAAGCGTGGAGCAAGCCGGGCGGCCAAGTATGCGCGGTATACAGTATATATAGATGCGATCAGAAATTTTAATTAAACCGTTACGATCGTTCTCGCGTGCGCGATCTCGTACGCGAGCGTCTCGGCTTTCCGCCGGGAAGAAATTGTGTCGCGATTCGCGTTCACGTTCGCTGAAACGCAAGGGTGAAACGAAATCACGCACGACGCGAGCTCCTTCCGTCGAGCTTTTCAATCTCGCGAAAACGTAAAGGACGGCCCTGTCTCGGACAGATCTTAATTAGCGAGGAACGAGTTACATTCGACTCGATTACGTCACTCACAGGCTCTCTCATGAGCGGAATCAATCGCGCAACTGTTGTTATCCGACGGACGACAAACACCGTGTTGATTCGATTACGTCACGACTTTGTACGGCCTCGGAAACAGCGCGTGTAAATGAAGAGGCGATGAGCCGAGCGTTGCGCTTCTTTCTGGGACAGATCGTCGCTGCTGCGTTGCTGCGAACGCGACGAGAACGGCTCACCGTCAGTTCTCATCCACTTACGCGGAATTGGATCACTCGAATCCGCTCGGAATGATGGCTATGATTTGCGGAGGAAGTTCCGCGATCCGCTAAGTTTCACACGGAGATTGGTGGATGCGCGATTCCCATTGCGGTGTAATCAAGGCGCTGCGACGGCCCGAAGGAAAGGGCTGAGAGCGCAATCATTAGACTCGCGGTTAAATATAGCCATCTCGGGAGAGTTACTCTCTCGTTTAAGTGTACGGCGGTCGAAAAAAGTCCGTCTCCCTTTCGGACGAGCGGAACGGATCCAGCTCGAGTCGTGCGTCCGCGAGCGAGTGGAAATATCGTCGGTGCTAAAGGGAAGAAAAACAAATGTGCAAAAGAAGTCTTCCGATAAATGGTATCTCACGGTATGAAAAATATAAATATGTGAATATTTGCCATTTTTGCAGTAAGTCGTGTTTAAACCGAGAGCAATATGTCGTTAGCGAGACGGATATAACGGCGGAAAGATTGGGGGAAAAACGAGTTTTTCTTTTTTCCGGAACTTTAAAACTGCACGAAAATTCGACGTACTTTGCAAACGTAAAAGACAAAAACATCGGATTAGATTTCGCGTTATTGTAAGTATATCTTTTCTGGTATTCGTCAATATTTCGTTACTTCTCTTTCACGACGTTTCTTTTTTTCATTCACGCTTCGGTCCAGTTGAACCTCCTCCTGAGGTATTCCGTCGGCCACTTCGATTAACAAAGAGCCCATCGAGCGAAGAGAGAACGGGAGCAACGCACTGAGCGCGGAAAGCCGTAAAATCATCCGCTCGCAATAGCGTTCTAATGGAAAATGCATGAATTTTCTTGTTGCAGACTCTCGAGGAGAGACCGCGAGACCGGAGTTCCCCGTTATTATTGGATCCCCGTGGGCGGAGAGGGAAAAAGCGGCGGTCCGTCCGTCCGTCCGGGATTTTACGAATCTCACGGTTCCCCCGGAGATAAACAGACCAGGTGAATCCGCGGTTAATTCGCAGGTGTATTCCTTCATTCTCGCGCGCGCGCGCGGTTACTCGCGCGTGAGCGCGCTTGCTCGCCTGCCGGAAGCATAAAAAGCGTTGACGTGTGATGGACGATTTCGGATTTCGCCGTGCACTCGCGCGTAGTCGCGCGCACGCGGAAAACGACGTCTATTCCGTTAAACGCGTGCGAAGTTCGCGCACCTATCTCGCGTCCTCCTTCATGCGAGCGAGCGAGCTAGCTTGGCGTCACACAGCGTGACGGACTCGCGGATTTAGGTACATCGGTACGGCGATAACGATCGGCCTCGTCGTCTGAGAGACGGATAAATGCCGGTCAGATTCGCACGAGCAGCCAGAAATCCGGATTACTCATCAGACCACTTTTAACGATTCCCGTCTCGTTTCACGTCTGCCCGGAGGAAAGGAAAAGAAAAAAACTTACTTACCATTCTCTTACGGTATAATTTTTCGATAAAGTAGAAAGCAAATGGACCGGTCAGCCTTCGCGCGACGAGAGAAAACAAATTTTAAGATGAATTTTTCATGACTCCCCGCTCTCTTCCCTACGAGGGAGATTTGCATAATGCATCGGCCGGTAACGATTAATAACACGGGGGGTAACAATTGTCTGCGAATCGCACGGAGAATTCGGAGATTAGAAATTTCAGTTTCTCGTCTCTGCGTACGGTTCACCGTACGCGTTATAATCGCGTGATTTATTACGGCCGAATCTTCGTTCCTTTCGTTAAATATAATTGAGCAACTTGGTCTACGATTCTACTTTCACAACGGCACAAAGTAACGAGTATCCGAAAATTAATTAAACGTATACCAGACGGTTATATTGTCAGTCAAACTCACGGATCAGCCGCTCCTAATAAATTCAAGCCGAGTCGAGGATGTAGTGTTAACTCGCTTAAAATAACCGATAGAGTTGCCGATTAGACTTGTCGCTGCCAATTAAGTAGGAATTCGAAATGAAGTCAGCTCTACAGTAGGCGGATATTTAATCGGAATTATGAGAGACAGAATGCCGCCTAATTACGCGGGTTCGTTCCTTACCGGCGATGTTGCCGAGAATTTCGCGCTTTTGTCTTCTTCGTTAACCCCGCGATCCATACCGATAGGACGTAATTAGGCCTAGCGGAATTCTGTGCCCGGTGAGGAATAATTCGCGACTATGAGAAGTTCGAAGCAAGCAAATTAAGCAGGCGCCCGGCTATCGCGTACGTAGCCGCATTATTTCGCACCGATTATATTATTCCGAAATTATCACAGACAGTCGCAGACTTTAGAAAATACTTTGGCTTCATTTCAAGACACATTCTCCAAATTATTCATCCAAATCAAGATTAATTTCATAGATCTTAAAAATACCGTTATTATTTCCGGTGGATATTTAACGGAAAAACCAGAAGGCTGATCTTTCAACCTTACGATCATATCCGAAATTATCACTCTTTAATTGCCGGGTCCTTCGCAAGCTCCAAAAAATGACCTTGCTTCGCGCAACACCATATTCTCGAAATTATTTATCCGAACAGAAATTAATTTCATAAATTCCACTTAAAGAATACCGTTTCTTCTGTTATCGGCGAAGGTGTTCCAGAAGGCTGATCTTTCAACCTCGCTCGTTGCCTCTCTTCGGGCGGAAAGACAAACTTACAAATTACGGGCTTCGCTTCACTTGCAGCTGCTCACATCGGTGGCTTTAAAAGAAGGACGAACGCCCGGGATTGCGTCACGAGGCTTATATCACGCCGGCGACGGTACTCGCATAGTAATGTCGATAATGACGACGATCGATCTGTCTCGTTCGCAGGAGGCATCGTTCCGCCGGCGCGCTGCCCATTTATGGCGGCTCGCGGGACGCGCGCGCTCGGCTGTCAACCCTCGATCCGCCGCGGTCGGGCGATCCCGCGATCTCGCGATTAGAATATGCGCACCGGACGTCGATTAAAATGCAGCCGCGACCTGAACGACGCTTTTAACGCGGACGATCACGCGTGTAGCACGCGCGCGCGACACCCACACGCGCGCACGCGCATGCCTGTGTGCGTGTTGTGCGTGTTGCAAAAGACATCTGTGACGCGGGGTCGCTGCCCACATGCGTTACGCGACACCCACATAAAACGCAGCTACCGCGGCTCTCTCTCGGACTGGTCGCGGACTGTAATCCGCGTCGATTATAGTCTCGGCGACGAGTCCATGCCGTTTCCTGATAAATAAAATATATACGTATATGTACGCTCGACGTAGGTAGAGAGGCAGGGCGGGAGGGGAGGAGGAATTTTCAGCGTGGTCGGTGATTTGAACGTGGAGCGACCTTGCGAATCGAATTGACCCTCTGAAGTGGAGACCGCGATAGGCTGCAGGAGTTGCCGGCGACATTTTTCCCCTTCGTCGCGCGTGTAGCTCGACAAGTGGACGACGGTGTTGCGCAAGGCAAATCGAGCTGCGATGTTGGAAAAAAAATAAAGGTGGAACGGTCTCGCCGTTCAGATTGATACTCCGCCATTGGAACGGCGATGCGTGGCTTGAAAGTTCTCGATTTTTCTCTTTCCTTTCTTCGCAGAAACGTCTTGGTTTACAACACCGTGCGATTGAGCAAGGGAGGAATAATTGCAAAATTACACCGGACAAATCGCAAATGCGATATTTATGGGGAGCCCGATCCATTCCGGCCGTGATACGATTCTCGAGGGCACTTTCGACTACGGAAAATAAAAGTCCATCGGATCGAATTGTCGGAAGTAAAAATTCAGCGGAATACATCGAAAGCACTTTCACGTAATTTAAATATAATTTAATTATAATTTGTCGTCAATTTATGCCGTTACGTACGTACAATTACACCGTAGCTTCTCTGACATTTCTGAATACGTTGTACGGCGCGGACAAGTTGTAAGCCGAGATAGATTATAGATCCGTGACATTACTCTTTGTTTTCTTCAAAGGCGTAATATAATCGTTAAATTGTGGCGCCAAAATCATCGCGCAACCGTGAAGCCTGACATTTAATCAAGTCGCTCCCCCGAGCTGACTTCGCTCGTAGATTAAAATTCGTATTCCCGGCTTAAATGACTGCGATTGCATGTACGTGCGTTCAGTCAGGCATGAGCTTTGTTCCACCGGCGTTCGGGGAGTTTCACCGGTAATTTGCATAGATTAACGTCGACGTGTGTGAGCCATTAGTAAAACGTAATGCCGCGGTGGAAAGTTAAATCATTATCGATAGCTGAATAGGGGTATTATTCAACGAGCGGTGGGCCGTCTTAGATAACGATCCTTAGCTTTTACGGCTCCATTTGGTCCTTCCGTCACCTACACGACACTTAAGAAAGCAGTTGAGCGGAGATTCGATTTCAGCTCTTTCGAAAGTTACGATTACGATGCGGCGGTACCGCCTTTCGTTCACATCAGGCAATCTCGAACAATTCTCTGAGGACATTTTAATGCCCTTAGAGAAACCACAAGCGGCTTTTTACTCAGTAAACGACGTAAATTAATGTCTTCTTAAATGCCGGCGTTAAATTAATGCGTGCATGCGTGGAAGAAAGGAATTATCCGTCCATACGATACAACTGAAATCTAATCTCCAGACGTAGTTTTTAGCTCTTATAATTAAAAACTAGACACGCGGACGAAGAACCAAATCGATGAAATTTCAGTTGTATCATACAGTTAATTTTTACCTGCGGGGGTTACTTCTTCATTCCCCTGTGACACACCGTATCTTTATACTATCTTACACTATCAAATGGTAATGATCGATTCTTCTTTGCAGGTGGACGACGATTATGATACACCTCGGTTGACCTGCTCCATTTCGTCGACGCGAGCAGCCAACCGAGAAGCGAAAGATGGTGTACCGGGGCAGTTTGCAGACGGACGACCCCCGAGACGCGCCGAAGCTGGTCCGGATGTCTCCTCTCCGCAGCAGCAGACCCGTCAATCCCGGGGCGAATTCGCGTGCCGCCTGTTCCGTGAAAGGCCCGATCGGTCACAGCTCGTTCGCGACGCCGATCGACGCGAACCGGGCGCGGCTGATCGAGGAGAGGCGTTTGGGCCGCGAGAGGGACATCGAGTCGGTCGAGAGGGTGATCGTGAGGACCACCGGCTTGAAGATAGGCGCGCCCAAGCTGCGCAATATCAACGAGATTCGCGAGACCGTCTTCATGGATCAATCCTTGACGCCGCTCGAGAAAATCGGCAGGACGGACTCGAGGAACCGGCCGCGCAGCGTCGCCGTTGGCCTCGACGACGGTAACGCCAGGCTACCGAGGACTCACAGTTCCCTCTTAGCGGACCTGAAGGATCTGGAGAGGCTGAGGAACACGCCGACGCAGAGGAATTACAGGGGTCCTTCGAGGACTGACAAGACGGAATCGAAGCCATCGATGATCCTGAGCAAGAAGAGCGACGTGCCGGCTTCCGCCAAAATCCGCTCGGACATCTTCAGGATCCAGCAGATGTTCCAGACGGCGGATCCCGCGGCCAGGACAGCGGCCAGGAGTGGCAACGACAGGAAAATCAAGAGCGACTCGGAGAAAGAGGAGAAGAAGCCCGGCACGGAGATCACCAGGACCCGGCTGTTGGCGCAGAAATTGCTGGAGGCGTCCCGCGGCAATCGCGAGTCCCTGAAGGAACGTTGCAACAATCCGAAGAACGCGAGCAACAGGACGCACAAGGACGCGGGCGGAAAGCTCTTGAGCAACAAGGCGCTGCAGGAGAGGATCCCGGAGAGGGAGAAGCACAGGGAGAAGGTGGAAACGAGTTCGGAGGAGCAGCCGCGTCCTCCCGCTCGCAGGCGGAGGAACAGTCGGGGGTGGAAGGACGCGAATTACTCGGAGGACGAGTGCTCGTGGGAGGATCGAGGTTTCCGCGATCATCTCGAGGAGGACTCGCCGAACGGCGCGAGTACGGAAGAGAATTCCAAGGCCAGTTCTAATCTGGAAAGACCGGATATTCTGGACGGGCTCGTGAAAGAGTCCGACCGGCAGCTGGCGGATCTGAGGAGCGACCTCGGGGCCGAGAGGGGCCGCTCGCGGAGTCACTGGCGAGGTTTCGTCCAATCCATGAGGTTGCACGACGTCGAGCTCCACTCGGACAACGAGGACCAGCGGAAGGGTGAGTTTGAGAAAACTGGGACACTTTGTGCGATTCTAGTCCCTGTGTGTTGTGTGTGTGTGTGTGTGTGTGCTTCTAGCTCTTCCCTTCCGAACATACCTCCGACTACCTCGCTGAATATTTCGCGCCTCAAGATCTCGGTGAATCTGTGAAAGCTTAGTACGTATCTCTTATAAAAAAAGAGAAATCTGTACACAGTGTAATTTATAATTTAAATTGCGATAATTGCGCCGAATTGAAAACGTATGTAGTTCTGGACAAAAGGTATGAGTCCTCGGAAGATCACGAGGGAGCAATGCAGACGACATTCACACGTAGGAGTGACAAATGTTCCGGCAAATCTCGGTCGGAAATGATTTCACGTAACGCAACACTTGACTTCGTTAAAGAGGACGTTGTCGAATTGTGCGTGTCTGCTCACGACAACGTCACTTCTCTCTTCCCTTGCCCGACGGAAAACTCGAAGAGTCGAGGGTGGAAGGACGCGAGTTACACAGAGATTCTCGCAGTTACTTCCTCGACCATTCGACGATGCCTGTTCCCGAGTTTATCGCTTTAATGCCCGCGGGCCGCTCGACGTCCGTTCGAAAAGGAGGGGCGCTTTATAAGCCAGTAGATTGGATTAGCGACGTTTGTCGAGGTGTTTAAAATTACAGTACAACTGGCATACTCATTAATCCCTCGGGCCGGGGCACCCCTATTTTTAGAACGCTCCCTCGTTCGCTCGCTCGCTCGTTCGTTCATTCGCGTTACTACCGCAGGTCAGGGTAAAGTGTCCCCGATATAGCGTGTATCCCCTTAACATATGTCCTTCCCCTGTATGGAGTTAGTCGGAGAAACAGTCACGCCGCCTCTCTTCTCTCTGGTTCCGCGCTGAAAGCTTCGGGCTGATGAGCACCCTGCGAGCTTTTCGAGAGCGACGGCCGGTTGCGTGTACCGGAGAGCTGGTACTTATGTAAACGCCGTCGTAGTCCGTATATTTCAAGCTTCGAAATTTACGGGTCCCATTGTGCCCTTCTCCTTCGCCCGTCGAGTCGATTTACTTTTTCGTTCTATTTAACGGGGTCTCTTCGAGTCCTAAAAGCTCCCTCGAAACTTTCGCCTTTCCCGACGAGAGGAAAACCCATACATGTGTGTACAAACTCGGGGGAATAATTTTTACTTATCCGACTCCTGTTGATTTTTCATCGTGGAAAAATTGTTGGTTCGACTCAATGTGCGTGAGAGAATGCGCTACTGAATATTAGTTTGAATAAAATACCCAGCTGGATAATAAATGTCGCTTTTTCCGATTTGCGATCCGATTGGTTCAAATTACGAGTCGGCGGATGCCGAAAGTGTCGATATGTTCTCACGGCTGATACTTCCAGGAAGCTTTCTAGTTCTCCGAGTGCAGTGAATACGGGTTTAGCGAGTGGCACACCGTCACCTTTGCCTGAACGCCACGTGAAAAAAGTTGCTCGGCGGCGGCAGGCGAGCCTTGTCTCGCTCTTTTATCCGCCAAGCATTCTTATCTGCGACTTATCATCTTACATGTGGACTCACTATATCTCCACTTGCGTACGCGCCCACCCGATGAGTCAAGAATGCTATAATTCTTAGATAAAACGACTCATCCTGCGTCCACTTCGCAGTTCATCCTATACGAAAAAATTAAGAGAAAAAATATATACCAGTCAGAAATTTAATAAAAAAATCAACAATTATACCGCTGAATTTTCCCCATTCGTTCAATATGATGATGGTAGTGTAATACGTAAAAGAAATAAAACCGATGACTCGATGTATTTTCCTTTAAAGATGGGGCCGATTTTTTCTCTTTGGAAAGCGGTTAATATCGTTGCTGGCCGAAATTGTTGATCTTCGATATCCAACTATTTAATTTGGCTGAAATGATTGACGGAATCAGATTAATTGAGACGAGGCGGAGTCTAACATTCACGCTAAGCGCACGGTCGAGGTAAGTTTTTCCTTTTTCACAGGACGTTGCGAAGAATTTCGCGTTGCACTCTCAGAATAGATATCGTCACATTACGCTGACCATATGTAATCTTAGCGTAATGCAAAGACGACGTTCTTCCTGTCCCTCTCTCTCTCTCTCTCTCTTTCCCTGTCCCGGGAAGGCTCGTAAAGCAAGCGTCGCGTTTCGCCTCGGGAAAAATTCCTGAATCAAAGGATCTCGGGTCGTCGGTGGCTGCGAAGGGGTTAATCCTTTCGCGTCGCGATGAAATACCGCGTTTACGCTTGAACTATGCACCTATGCCCGCTGCTCTCGGATACTTAGCCGTTCGCGTAATACCGGCGTTTTCGCGTCCCGAAGGGAGAGAGAGCCCGTAAGGGGCCTTCCCCCTTGCGAGTCGCGAAACACGCCGCATTCGCATTCTCACGGCACCGCGAAAGTCTTTCATAAACGAGGAGAATGCGCGCGTATCTGCGGCGCGAAAGATCGCAGCGTGCGCTATTAACAGTCCGATGACATGCGATTATTTTTACTTTTCATTTTATCGCTTCCTTTTCGAGCTAGGCGCGCGGATTTGCCGCAAAAGGGCGCAACCAAGTGCGAGAATTGTCGAATGGCACAGGGATGGAAATATTCCGCACGGTTGCACGCGGATACTCCGAATTTTCCGTCGTTTTCTTTTTAAGTTATTTAATTAAAAGCGCGCTACTTCGAGAAAAAGACAGAAAAAAAGAGTGAGAGGGGGGGGGGAAACAATTGAAACTCAGGGAAATAAATATAATATATACGGAGAATATCGTGAGAGTGACGGAATGAAATGAAACAACTTTTTAGAATGCTATCGTCCCGAAGATCGTGATAACGATAATCATGGAGAAAGTTAGATCCTCATCGGGTGCATCTTCTCGACGTCCTGAGAGGAATTTCATCTCGGTGCATCGCGCTACCTGCGGTGGGGAAAGTCTTGTCGGATTGTTTAATGGCCGTCTCCTTCGTAGCAGCTCTTTCCGTAAATCAAATGCCGATTAATTAAATTTATGTATCGCTCAGCGAGTCCGTTTCCACGCGAAAGCGTAATCTCTCACGATCTAACGTGTTTCCGACGAGTATCGTTGCGCACGAGCTCGCGTCACGTGCATTTGGCATTTTTTTCTCCATTACGTAAGTGAGGAGGGGTCGTTTATTTATCGGTTTTACCGCGCGAGAAACTTTCATCTCGCTCCACCGATCGGCGCGATTATCCGGCAAGACAAATAGCGGCGTTTTACACACCCGTGTAATAATTTTTACTGCTCATCGTGTACCTCGGCTAATCGTTCTAATCTCATGCTAAATCTCTCGGCGTCACGTGGCGTGCGAAGATAATAGGATCGATTCCGACGACCGTGGGAGCGGAAGGGCCGGGTGTAACAAATTCGGGACACAATAGGACGCATCGACGATACTCCACGGCCACAATCGATATCGCCACGTACGATATCGGAAGCATCCGAATTCCTTTCCGCACGCACGCACGCACGCACGTACGCACGCGGCTGCACGCATTTCTTCTATACAGGGTGTCCCGAACATACGACTTGGACGAGAAGTTCTCTTTTGTCGAAGATTGCTCGCATAATCACTGCCTATTGGAAATTTCGAATTTGCTACGTAACACCTTTCGCTGATGTTGAATGAAACGTTCATCTCTCAACACTGAATTCGAACTTTCGAGCACGAAATCTTCAGCTCGCAATTCTCCAGTGTCTTTCGCGACTCGCCCGAGTTCCTCTATCCAATATCCGCGATGCAAAGGTGGTCGAATTGTCGAGAAAACCCGATGCCGAATTCCTCGGCGAAACCGCCGTTAGGAGATCAACACCCCGTATCGTATTCACCCCGTATAGGCGCTGACGGCCCTTGCCCTTGAGTCTACGCCCTAATATTGATCCGGCGTCCCTCGACGCGCCCCACCACCATGGACCATATCGGCCCCTCTTTCTTCGACCTCGTCGCCCCGCCGGCCGCGTTCGGGGCCGTTGGTCGTCCGTACGTCGTTCTGACACCACGTCGCCAGTGCAAACTTGGCTGTCAAACCGTTAACACTTAACGGACCGAGCGCGGGCTGATCGATAGTGCTGTACGTTCGTTCAACGCCGGTTACCTCCGCCTCATTTTCCGCCGCATCCTCGGCCGCGATATGTCGCCCTGCGTCACGAAATATCTCAGTGCGGATGCGACCACGCGGTAGAGTACGCGCTCTCCGTTGCCGGTGGTGGACATGGTGCTCTGCGACGTCTGCGATAGCAAAGGTGAGAGTGACTTCTCTTCTTCTTTTCTTCTTTTTCTTCTTTCGCAATGAAAAGACGCCGGAGCAAGAGGGTGCTCCGTAGCTGAGAGCGAGAGCGCGCGGGCGTCATGACGAGGAGGCTCTTCACCTTAGTCCTCGATTTCGGCGACGGCCTTGGGATTTGGTGTCGAGGACGTTTGTCCCAAGGACGTGCGGAAATCGAAAATCACCGGCGCCGAGGGTGAACGCGAAACTCTCGGCGGGGAAAGTCCGTTGGAAGCCGCGGCGAGAAAGTGAGGGACCGCTTCTTCCACGGCGCATTAATTGATGACTTGACATTACGACTTGCGTCACCACTTGAGGCTCGATGCGAAAATTTCTGCCGTCGGCAGTCCCTGTATTTCTTTTTTTCTTTTCCTCTCTGTGGAGCAGAACCGACGTCTTTTAAACACGAGGAGAATCTCCGAGCGGGAATCGGTGTTCGGCTGAATGGCTGAGACGGGAAGGCTTTCTCTCGGATTGGTCGATCGATCGATCAAGCTCGGCACGTTCAATTAGCGTAGAAGAGACTAGCGTTAAAATTGAGATGGAAAATCCCGGGACATTCTGTAATAATTCTGAGCGATGGAAAGTGGAAAGTCCAAGATGTTTACCGCGGCGAGTCCGCGTCCCGTGTGGCCATTAATGAATATTATCTCCGGGCCGCTTTATCATTCGGCTCTGCCGGCGAAGGGACTGTCTGCGCGTCGCCGACGATAAGGCCGTCGGTTT